TCATACATGAATCTACAGCGAATGAGAGAGTGAGAGAATCAGAGGACTACTGAGATAGGCATGTGGAAAAGAGAGCAGCCATTGTTCTTGGACCTTTTATACTCTCATTCAACAGTCTGCTGCTTCTCAGATCGTCTTTATTAGGCCTTTATTCGAAGGCTGATGATGTGGTTAAAGCGGATATGGACTAGACAAATTATAGCCTGTTGGAAAATTACATTCAATGAAATAACAGTGTTTAAAGGTTTACAGTATCATGGGCGTATTAACAGACTGGTGATGTGACATGTTGACAACAGGGAGGCTTGTTCTTCTTCCTTAAATCCCCGCACTAGTTCTGTTGGTCGAAATGTAGTCAATCAATAACTGAGATGTTTTGAGCAGTTTTTTTTAAATTATTAGTGGTAAAATCAACATTGACACATCACAGCACATTTAAGAGACTGCGTATAGTAAACAGATTCTTAACAGTTTATGTTCTGCGTATTCACTCTCTCCATTATTCAGTTTCCTGGCAGATTAAAGCTTTGCTGAGTGTGGCCTTTTATTGTGGGGAATCTAAATATCCTCCAAGCATGGCCTAGAATAATATCAATGTCTCCTCATCAGGCTTTGGTGAATAAGAGAATGAGTCCATGAGCTAATGGTACTTTCAAAATCAAAAAAAAAGTGACTTTGCACGCTAGGGTTTGAATTAAACTTAGTACAGTTATAGTACACATGAGTTCACAGATTGAAGTGATCATTTCTGTTAATGTTATCATAGTGTGATGTCCACAGATTATTATGTATATATATATATATATATCTGTCACCACACCATCTATATAGTGCCGATGTCCCTACCTTTCTGACTGAAATAAAGACAGCGGGATATCATTTAAAATAACACACTTTCATAATAGCCTTGGAAAGTCATGCGGAGTTGACTGCGCTCCGCCTCGGCTTGACATCCTCCTGCCCCGCGGAGCATGAATATTTGATGTCGGGTGCGTGATGTAAGTGGTATTTTGAAGAGACATCTTCACTCTCCGCAGATGCCTTTTCTTGTTTGAGCGGCTCTGATTACAGAGTAGATACAAGGGTCGGAGTAGACACAGAGACTGGGTGTGCCTGCACTCAAAGTCAGACACATGGGAACAATTACAATGTGTGGGGGCATAGGCTCTTGTGTGTTCGTCTCTCTCGCTCTTAGTCTGCCTGTCTTTATGTTTACACTGTCTCTTTTAAGGTGGTGGTGTGTCAGCGGCATCTTAAGCCAAGCAGAGTGATGCTTTGTGAGTTTAGTGCCTTTTTTTCTTCCTTTCAGATTTCCTTCTGTTGTAACATAAAAACTAAAAGACCGAACACTGAAGTGGCTCACTTCTTTTACTTAACGTGCATTAGACAAAGAGGGTTGTGGCTCACTTTTCTGCCCCCTCTCTTTTTTTTTGTTTTTTTTTTTTGTTTTTTTTTGTTTAACGGGAAATTGTGGCTTTAACTTTATGATGCCGAGCTTTAGCAGTCGGAGCCAATGAGAATCATTTAAGAGCACTCAATGTGGCTTGACATTCATGCCTGAAGGCTGATCTTTGGCTTCACAGTACACAGTATAAAACATGTTTTTTTTTTGCAACCAAATCCAAGCCAGAGTTATGATTTTGTGGAAAAAAATAAAACATCTTGTTAGAATCTCTAGGTTTGATTTTCTTCAAGTGGCTCAGATTCATTAGAATGATCTGTCAGGTATGAAGGCAACAAATGTTACTGGACTCTTTGTTCTGTAATTATACGCTTATCTTTACTGGATATATCACAATGGGCTGCTTGTTATTATTGTTTGGGGGGCTCCACTAATTTGTAAAGAGAGGAAAATTATGAAAGGCCCTTTTGAGTTGGGAGAGTTGTTCATTAGAGGGTTTAAGGATTAGGTTGAAATAAGCTTGTTGAACTTCCTTGTACATGGAATGAGGGGCACTTTGTAGCACCAGATATGAGCGGGAGACATAATGTGAAGCAGAGAAAACAAAGAGCAGTAGGCTCTTCCTGTACAGCTGAAGATCTGTAAAACATATGTCCTCTTTTATGTTTGAACATACAGTATATTGATGTTTCTTTCTTCTTTTTTTTTTTTTTTTTCTGACTGGTGCTTTCCCATCCAGATGTCTGTAACCATCCAGGGGCTGTCAGTCCTTTCAAACTGTGGTCAAATAGTAAACTTCCTTTTGGATATACTTTGATTGTTATATTTTAGCCTCAATTTTCAGATTGCAGTTATATTCAATCACTCAGATTAAAATACCTGTTTATCTCAGGAATGTTTATAAGTGGGCGACATCTAATGTCAAAATGCCTTTGGTGTTCTCTGTTTAAGTTACTCCATCTGTCTTTCCCACAAAATATTAAAGTATTAAGCCCTATCTACTTAAGTAATTTGTTGAGAACTTTATTATTTTATGGCAACAATACCTCTTTGGCACCTGACTACACTCAGACAGTCCATAAAAAGTATTAGAAAGTACTATTTGGCACAGGTCTCTGGCTTTTCCATAACCTCTGCATCACCTCAACTCATATTGCACCACCCCCTTCTTTCTCTGTTAGTTTTGGCTCAGCCTAACGTATTGTTTCTTTCAAATTTGCATTCAGAGGAGATTTTGTGGCATCTTGACTCAACTTCATTTTTATTGCTCAGAAGCTTGCTGTAAGAACTATTTGATGACAACAGGGTAAGGTAACTATTAATACCAGCTTCAGGGCAATATTGTATCACTGAAATTCCAACCATGACCCTCAATAAATATTAAAAGTTCATATCAACAAGACTAGGTCAAAACCTAGCATATACTGCGTCATAGGCTATTTTCATTCCACCCGGTGTCAGCTGGTTTCAACCCTTTATCTGTTTGCTTCTCCTCTCTTCTCTGTGCTCACATGTACAGTTTTTAAAACGGTCATATTCCCAATAAAGCTGCTCTCATTTACATGTTTTTCTGTTTCTGTTGTCGGACAATGGAACAAATATGAAACAGTGACTGAAATGTGGCCCATTAAGACTTCATCTTAACCAGCAGTCATTTTTGCAAGCCATCTCCAAGCTGCCGCTCTGCACTGCTGAAGTCGGGATTTTATAAAATTTATAAAAATTCCAATTCAAAATGTGTCATACATAATGCATCGAAAGCCTATGTTTCTGTTGAAACACCGAGGCCCAGAAAAGACAAAAAAAATATGGATATATAGACACATGCACTGACTGTGAGATCTGAAATTTAGCCATTGAGCTTAAACATAAAAGGAGGGGAATGAGATATTTGGCGAGCTTATTTGTTTTGACCCTCAAATGCCTCTGTAGCACAGCCTTGATAGATAAATCATTTTATCAGGTTAACATTGAACCGAACAAAGTCAGAAACGGTATTAATGTCATTATGTGCACGCCCTGTCATCAGACACATGGCCCAGCTATGACCGCGTCTTCAGACCTCCTCAGTCTTTAGTTATGTTGTTTTTCTTAATAGGAAGTAGAGGATCATACAGTTTAGTGTCACCCTGGTTTCAGTTAATGGTTAACTAACTTATCGTGGTGAAAAAACAACACGTCCCCTTGCTCTACCCCTCCTGCTCCTGTTTGTTTGCCCGCCACAGTCTAATTTATGTGTATATTTTCACACTTCTCATAATAACATAAAAGATCTCTAAAGCAGTATCTTGCACAGTTGCTTCATTGAGCTGCTGTCCTTGCCCTGCTCTCTCTTTCCCTCTCTCCTTCTCTCTCTCTCTCTCTCGTTCTCTTTCTCTCTCTCTCTCTCTCTCATACACACACAGATACACGGATGGACCGTCAAGAAATCCATAAAATTTTTACTGGCCCTGTCTTTCACTTCACCGGCTCGTTCTGTGTGTGCATGTGAGCAATGAAATCGTGCTGCGTGCGCGTGCCGGGACTGGGCTCAGGAAAAACACTACGCTGCGCTAGATCACCCACAGATCTGCTGTCACAAATAGAATCAAGTCAATGCTGATAACTAAATTGTGTTAATATTTCATATTGCACGCCACATAAAAAAAAAAATAATAATAATAATTGCGGTGGTGACAGAAATAATCTTAACCGCACGGGAGGCATCACAAGATGTTATGCTGTTATCGTCACAGCCCTACACAACAATTAATCCCCTCACCAGTGTTTTTTTTTTATCAGGTCAAATAAAATTTGGTTTGGACTGTGAGAGTCTTCTCTTAATGTTTTTGAGGTACTGGATCCTGTCATCTGGGCACAGTATCAAAGAAATTTTCCAAACGTTCCTCTGTAACTCATTTAAATGAGTGGAGTAATTTTACTCCCACCCTTAAATCTTTTGATTGGAGGCTTGCAGGTGTCAGAAAGTGCATTAGAGAAAGAGAGAGAGTGCACTTGGAGTTCACCTCTCAGTACGGCCAGGTGTCATTTTATTGGCTTCAGCTGCATGGAGAATGGAAGACGCACACACACACACACACACACACACACGCACACTTCACTAAGAGTAATGGGCGAAAATGACGTGAGAGGCCAAAATGATGGAGCATGACCTATAGTTCAGTGTGACGGAGGGAGAAAGGCAACAAAGTGTAGAACCGGACACAGACAGAGTGATCAAGTGAAACTGGGAGGAATGGTGGTCGAGAGATATAAGGAACCACTTCTCTCTGGGCTTTAAAGATTACGGTAACAGAAATGTTCCACTATGTCAGCGGTGGCTTGCTGCTAACAGCCCCTCAGCTACAGCAGCATATGAAGCAGAGAGGAAAAACCATACCATCTGCTCAGTTCGTTCCTAATCATTGGCAGGCCTTCCTTTTATTGGCCGAATTCCTTGTAGGAACTTGCTGATTTGTATAAAATGCGAAAACCTTCCTCTTCAGCCTCGGCTATCCTGTTGTGTGTGTGTGTGAATGTGAAATGCATATTTGTATGTGTGCGTGTGAGTGTAAATACTTTGTGCACCAATGACTTTGACTTCATTGTGGGTTTTCAGATGGAATTGCTGGATAAATTCCCGGTGGAGGGAGGCCAGAAAGACCCGAAGCGCAGGATCATTCCTTTCCTACCAGGTAAGAGTTAAAACACACGTTGTCCCCCGGCACCCCCTCCACACACACACACACACACACAAATATATAGCACACACACACAAATTTGGATTGTCTGGAATGCAGGAATGCTATTTCTGAAATGTTATTGACTAAATAATCCATAAAAAAATAGTTTCAATATTACTTATGATAAGATGTGACCAAAATATGTAACGATACACACAGAACAGGGAAGTCACGTAAATCACGCTGTACTTCCCCCTCGCTGTATTGTTATGTCTTCGTCTCACTCCCGCTCATTTCTTCATTCCTCTGTTAGGAACACTTGGCACGCATTGGGTTAAAATGCAGACAACAATGACTCACTGATAGACTGTGGGTGAACTGGAGGAAAGCAGAACGTTTTGTTGGGTTTGCAGACTGCACACAAAGGAACTAACCAGAATGATCTGCAGAAATCATAATCAGTAACCTCACTCAACTGTGAACTGAGGGAGAATATGTTTCTTCATCATCAGCTGATCTCTCAGGATATGGCCCATAGACGTATATTGTATTAGACATGGTACGCAGATCACGGTTGGAGCCTTTGGGTGACACTTTGAGTATCTACTATTGTTTCGCTTGATTTAAAAAAAAACAAAAAAAAAAAAACAAGAAGGTTACAGTTCATAGCATTTGTTATGAGATTGTTTTCTTGGCTTAGCTGCATCATTGTTCTGACTGAATCATCATCGTGTGTGAAAACCTAAAGTGGCCAAAAGAATGATTTCTTCTTTTTTAGCTTCATTGACTTTCCTACTAAGTCCAAGTGGCAGTGAAGTTTGTTTGGAATAAGTGTTTTGGGTGTGCTCGACCAACTGTTGAACTAGTTTTAGACTGAGATCCGGCTTGAAAGTGATTCTTTATGAGAGTTTGAAAGAAAGCCTCACCCAAAGACCCCACCCATATCTCCCCTATCGGGCTTGGGACGGGTGGGGGATAGTATTATTTTTGTGGCCATGCAGGTCTGGAACTCATTGTGAGAATATACGCACACACACAAGCACACAGGCACATGCACACACACACACACAGACTGTTAGATGAACTCTGAGTATGAGGAGGGGAAGAGCACTTACTATTGCTTTATACAATCAGATAGAATAGAATAGAATAGAATAGAAAGTCTTCATTGCCACAAAACCATGCTGATTAGTGCATTAAAAGAGACAGGGAAATAAAACAATCTCAGCAAACAAACAGCCTCCTTCCTGCCTCCCAGTGAAGAGGTCTGAGTGTTGACAGAATCTTTCACTCCTTCTGGTTTCGATGGTAGAAAAATTGCCATTGAAGTTTCCCCCCCCCCAAGAAAGGCACTAAATCCTCAACAGCTCCTGTGGAGCTGCTAAAGCACCAAAAGTGGACTCAACATGGCAAACCTCTTGGAATGCCACTGTGGAGCTTTTTTCCATTTGTGGCAAGGGTGTTGCTGGAAAACATTATCTGTGCTTGGTGCCTGGATAAATCGAGGTTTCTTAGAGAATGAGGCTACGTCCACACTAATAGATGAGCGTCCGTCCGTACTAACACACCTGAAAAACACATGACCATTCACGTAACCTGAGCATGCATGTGCCGGTGTAAACAGGAAGCAGATTGACTACTCAGCAGTTGGCTGCAGAAAATACTACGAACAAGGAACAGGAATGGTGAAAAATAAGACCAGAGATTTCTTCACTTGCTGCAAGCGATGAGCGAAGAGCGTCACAAATCAGGGAAGGATACATCGTGAGAATGTGGATGTCTGTGTCATTGTCTCAGTTTCTGTCAGTCCAGGCTAGAACGCAACCCTGGCGTTTTTAAACTGAAACAAGGCCAGGGGCATTTCCAAAAGTCTGACATGAACATAGCAAAAATTATGCATTTTAAAACTAAAATATATTACTGTAGCTGTAGCCTGTGTCTCAGGTCCCAGATCAGGTCATGATCAGGTCCTCTGAGAAGGACTCTCAGTTAACATTTGCCTGATTTTCAGGCATGAATTTTCCTAACAGCCAAGAAAATCATTCACTTACAAAGCAGAAGTCTGGACTGTGGGCTGAGGCCAACATAACAAGGCACGGAAGTGGTTTTCCCTTCTTGGTTCGGTTTGTTCAAGGCCTCAAGACGATTTTACTCCTTTTGATATCTCCACATCAGCAAAGTGGCTTGTCTGCATGTGTGCATAGTGCAGAATTTCTGCTCAGTTTTTTTTTGCCAGATGCGTACACGCACACACGCACACACGCACACACACACACACACACACACCAAAAGCTGCTGCATTTAGTTGTAAGTCCACGCTTGACCTCTAAGAAGAAGTTCCAAAAACTTTGAGCCATTTAAACCCATACTTTTTTTCTTCCTCACAGGAGATTGACTGGTTTGCTATCTCAAGATAGGCTATTTGTCATTTGAATACCTCCCACAGTGCTAAATTTCTTTGATGGGTTGATGCACGACATTTAGATAAAAGTGATAAATTTCGATCTGCTGAACCCAGACCCCTGTGCAGTGCTCTTTATGGCAGTGTCAGCAGGTCAGCCTTTGAAAAAAGAGCTGATGTGCTCTTGAGCAATTATCTAAAGCTGGAGTTGTTAAGCTATGTGTCAAAACCCAAGATGGAATGTGGGTCTGTTTCTTTAGGGGCCCCCCTGCATGATAGACGAGGTGATATTTTTTCATGAACTTGGATCCCAGAAGTAGACTATGAATTTGTAATTTGGGTCGACCTTTTTTTATTTTTTTTTCCCCTTTTCCTCCTAATGATAGATCTACAGTACATACTGTGGTGTGCTGGGGATCTCTCTGCCTGCCACAGTAGGAGGCACAGTATCTTGGACAGGTCAAATACGATTCTGTTGAGCTGAATAACTCACATTCCCCAGTCTGTAAATGGCAGAAAAACACCAAAAAGTTGCCATGACCTCGTTGTTTATGCCTCATTCATATCACGTTCATCTCCCGTCTGCAGGGGGAAGCAATCACTGCTCTTGTCTAACTAAATTATTTGCATATGAAGCACCAGTAGCAGACCTGAGTTTTATGGCAGTTTAAGAAGCCATTTGTGGCCTTAGTCAACAACTCACTGAAGAATGCAGTAATTACAACAGACACACAGCTTTGTGGCAAGTCCAAGTCAACTGTCAAGTATTTTCAGAGGAACCTAAGTCAAGCTAAAGTCCTATAACAAGTCTTAAGTCAAGTCTCGAGTCATTCAGTGCATGTTCGAGTCAGTTCTGAAGGTACGTGACAGCAACGCTCAAATCAGGTCTCATTTGAGTCCGAGTCTTGTCTCATGTCCGTAACAACTCTCAACCGAGGTCTCAAGTTTTGTAAAAGCAAGTTTCAAGTTTTCAGTCAAGTCATTTAGATAAATCCAAGTCAGGCCATTACTTAAAAAAAAAAAAAAAGTTGACTGAGTATTTCAGATCTCGAATACGTGCCATAAAAATGACACAAAATTTGAACATTTTTCTTTTTTTTTTTCTTTTAACTGGACTTTACAAGGTCTAAACTCAACTTGAAGTCTGAAGTCCTCAGTTTTGTGAGTTTAACTGGAGTATTAAGTCTACAGAAATATATTAGGTAAAGGTTTAAGCAACTCAAAATCACCCTGAAGGGGCAAAACGCGGTGAAAAACCAAGAGGAAATTCATGTGTGTCGAGCTCACTGTGTGTTAGGTGTGTAACAACGACCCTCTCTGTGTTTCCGTGTCTCTCTGTCTCCTATGTCCCTCTACCTCCCTCGCTCGCTCTCCCCAGGAAACAAAAGCTGTTTGATAGCCGTGGTCACTGCTGGCTCAGAGATTTGCCGTAAAGTCTAACCTACGTCAGCCATGTCTCCAAGCAGCCCCCCCACCACCACCACCACCCCCCACCCATCCCCAAACAAGCCTTTTTTATCGGCTGCACCCATGAGTTCCCGTGCATACAGAGTGGGCAGTGTTGAGTCAGTGCTTCTCTCCCGACCCCAGAGAGCTTTGGAAGACTGTCAAAAAAGCTTTTTCTGTTTGAGGAGTGACAAAGGGGGGAGGAGAGGAAAAGAGAGGGAGGAAGAGAAGTAGGCGTCCCAGGGGTGGGGGGGTGGGGGGGGGGGTGTGGGTGGGGGGTTGACTTTCAAAACTCTCCAGTTTTGGAGCGCTGTCCAAGACGGTGTGTCCTTTTTCGGCTGCTCTGCCAACACCTAAGAGATTTGGAGCGCCTTCTCTCATTCTTCATCTGGCCGATCTCCCTTTTTGACAGTCTCCCTCACATAGTACTGTACTGGTTAGATTCATCCTCTGCGGACCATCAATGTTAGTCTAAAAAAAAAAAATAAAAATCCATCCAGTAATTGTAGAGATATTTACTCTGACCAATAAAAAAAAAAAAAAAAAGCCACAAGAAGAGAAGCTACAGGAACACCAATGTGTTTGAAGATCACGCCTTTTTTTTTTATATTAATCTCCAAACCAATCAGGTCTCCTTATTCACTGACGTCATCTGCAGTCTGGCTCTTTGATATTATAGTTAGCTACACTCTCTCATCTTCCACCTCCACCACATCTTCAGTCACATACAATAACTCAGAAGCACTCTGAAAAAAGATTTCCTGTAACTTTTAGTCTCGGTTGTCACCCACCTGAGTCAACCAGTAGGTTGTTTTGAGGATGTCACCTCCCACCTAACCCCTCTGCGCTCTCCACCTCTTTTTTTACATCCTTCCTTTTTCATGTTTCCTTTTCTTACATGTATCCTTTTCCTTAGTCTTTAGTCAGATTCACAGATGACGCTGTGATGATCACAAACAGTCTCTCTGTGCCAGTATCTACCTTTCTGCCATTCACTCACGCACACACACAAACACACACACACACACACACACACACGCACACACGCACACACACACACACACATGTACGTACATAAACAAAACAAACATTTGTGGTTCTGGAAGCAGAAAAGGCCATTTTTAGTAACAAGGGTGAAGCGGTGGAGCTGCAGGTGGGCTGACTGTTCAGCTGCCGCCTCCTGTGAGGTAGATTCATGTTTCAGCAAGTCTTGCTTTAGAATCACACTCAACAAATACCTTCACCCCTTGATGGAGGTGATACAGTAACTTCTCAAAACATCTTCTTCTTTCATTCATTCAGGATCTTGTTACAGCCTTGACTTCCTGCCCGGTTTATATGTTTGCATTAGCGCCGTCTCAGTGAATTTATCGGAGAAAACTTCAGCGGCTAAAATGAGGAGAAAATAGATGCTGGCCCTGAAAATTTCCTGCATACCGTTAAGTTAGAACAGTGTTTTAAGAAGCCTATTTGTAGCCATTTCTTGTTATTGTTATGGCGACCCAGCTCGTCTGTGCCCGAGGTTATTTGTGCCTGGAGATAAGAATGGGGGAGTTGGCATAACTTGCTTTCCCAAAATCATTTATTCATGACTTGGAAAGGCCAGCTATTCACCTAGCTCCTTACCCACCTCATTGTGCTGTCAGTGATATTGATAACATCACCGTATCCGCATGCTAATTCACTAACTATGTATTCTAAATGCATCCTTATTGTTCTTTTTAGAAGTTGCTTTTGACATGAGTATCATCCAAATGAAAAAGCAGTTCAGCCTTTTCTTTCATTTACTAATCTTTTATGCTTTTGTATAAAAGATACAGGATGTAAAAGTCAAATATATGTTATTTACACGTTTATGCATATTTTAACAGTTAAGGTTATAAGTTTGGATTTTTCTGTTCTGTCGACTTCTAAATCTGTTTTTTTTTTTCTACTATTTTTCAGGGAAGATCCTGTTCAGAAGGAGCCACATCAGGGATGTGGCCATGAAAAGGCTAAGGCCCATCAATGAATACTGCAGGGTGAGTGTATTCACTCAATATGTGACTTTAACCTCGGAGTCTGCAATAGTCATATTTCTCGAAATGTCCGTGAAAGCTACACTGACCAGCGAGAAGCACCTTGGTAGTCAGAGGATAAGAAAAACAACTAGCCCACCCAGAGGGTGAAACTGAACCAACTTAGTCATGAAGAGGAAAATGGAAAATAATCTTTTCATGGCCTCCATGCATGTGAGCAGCACGAATAGCAGAGGATTCAGAACAACACTGAGGAACCAGGCCATCTGGTTTCGAGGGAAATAATTTTTTTGTTGAATATATGTCTTGGTTTGTGCCAAATTTATCAAATTTGTATCTCATTACCTTCACCTATCAGATACTCCAGCTGTCAAACACACGCACATTGTAGTTGTAAAAAAAATTCAAACACACGGTTATATTCATTAAAATTAAGCTGAGAGACACACTGCAACATTTACATAACAAGATTTATAGGATTACATTTTTCCAAGAGCAGCTGTGTGATACTATTGCCCTTGCCTTCTAAATTGGCAGTGTGTGGTGCGTGCCACACTGAACTCCCTCGAGCAAGCCTTTGTGACAGCAGGCACAAAGGCTTGCTGAGGAGTCCTAAAAGCTCCCCAGGTGCTTTGTTGCCGACTCTGACCTCCCTGCATAAGAAGACAAACTAAAGGAGAATTTCTCTCCAGGGATCAACAGTGTATAAGCAAAGAACAACAAAAAACAACAAAAAAAGTGTTGCTGTGTAGCTAAACGAGAAGATGATCTCATTGTAACACGCAAATGTTCGGTAACCCATCACGATGCCAATAGACAAGAGAATTTATGAATGTACCTTGTATGTTTTATGTTTTATGTTGCCGCTAGTGACGGAAGAAAGACAGAATGGACAGAATGGTGTAATGTGTTGGTGGTGTCTGTTCCCATTTGAGTTCCCCACAGTTCAGTTAAAAAGAAAGAAAAGAAAAGATAATGTAAAGCCTGTGCATTATCCAGCCCATTACATGGCTTTATAACCAAAGAGATAAATCACTTGGTCTTGAGAAAGAGGGGGGGGGGGGGCGGGGGGGGGGGTGCAACTGTACGGACTCAGGCTCCACTGTAGCAGAGCTGTGACCATAAAACTGCCAATAGCTAGAAAATAATCGCTACAATTTGACAGAAATGTTACCCCAGCAACCTAAATGAATACATCATGACTGATGTTGAACTTCTTAGCAAGAAGACAAAGTTATGTGCCCGTGAAATAAATTCAAGAGCAAGGAGTGAGCCTGCTATGCATCTCGCAGTCATTTCTTTTCAGGGTCAGGCATTTACAAAATGGATATGGTGGCCACAGAGTCACGTGATTTAGGTGTGAAGCGGCGTGCGTCTGTATTTTGGAAACCCCCCCAACCCAACCCAACCCAACCCAACCCCCAGGAAGACGAGCTGTTGTTATCGCCTGTTGTGGTGGTTACTATCAGTAGAGAGTCATGCCAAAGGCAAACTGCTTGGTGGTGCTGAGCTTGCTCCATGTCAGCACATCCACAGCCCATAGGCTGTGTTTTTATTCAACTCTACAGTCTTACCTCGGGGGCCTCTAAACCCTCCACACCTCCTCCTCTTTTCTCTCTGAGAGTGGAAAATTTGAGGATGTTTTTACAAGTTAGTTCTGATTTAGCCCATACTCACGCCTTCTTGTATTTTCACATGTATAATTTCATCTCCATATAGAGCCTCGTGAAACCATCACTGTACAAATTAGTCCCTAATATGGTGCTTCCCTTCCTGAATACAAACGATAATTTACAAGGCCTCAGAGGGAAGAGAAAAGCTTTTATGTATGATTCTGCACCAAGTGTCATTGGATGGGGGGGGCTAAAGGAATGTACAGCTGGTGTAGGCAACATCTTTAACCACTTATGTGAAAAATAAGAGTTGAGGGGGGTTGGTTCATGTCTATGGGTGCGGATGTTTATGGGAATAGCTGAGCCAGTTTTACATCAGTGGTGTCACTAGTACTCAAAGTTATTATTGTTGAAATGGATGGATTTGAATGGTCATTCTAATGAGGTTTAGGGCTGAGTGATGTTGTTCTTTGAGGACAGAACACCTCAGAGTATGTGAGAGATTTACGTGGGTTGGAAATGAATACAGTCCTGTGTCGCTGCTTTTAAATCCAAGCAAGCGGGAAAGTCACAGCTCGTCGGCCAGTGACAAGACACGCCGACGATCATTCAAAACATCATTCAGCTCTTTGATGGCATCATACGGGTCGGATCTCAGGATTCAGCTTTGGCAGGGGATGCTGGGTATTGCACCGACTGCTAAAACAAATCTGAACTTGTCTGTAAGCACAAAAAACGGCCTTTTCATCCACCCTCTCCCGCAGTCAGGTTGACAAGGTGAAACTTCCATGTTTTTCTTTGGGAAGAGCTGAGTCAGCCCTTCTGTTATACAGCTGAGGCTTTAACCTGACTCATGGAATTTCCCTGGTTGTGAAGCTCTAATGTTTTCATTCAAGTCAGGGAAAAAAAAAAAAAACGAGGGAAAAAAAAAACGAGGGGAAAAAAAACAAAAAAACATGAAATCAGGGATTGTTTGCAGAAACCAAAGAGTAAGACTGCTGAGCTAGGGTGACTAGCCAGATCGCACAGCTTGATGAAATGCATCACATCAAAAAGTCCACTAAGTAATCAAGCAATTTCCATCTGACCTTCATTAGTCAGTACTCAAAAGATTTGAAAAGATAATGCTTTTACTTACAAACAGATTAAGATTTTGCATAAATAATGCCTCTAAATGTCTTTTCTTCAGGGGCCAGAAAATATCAACAAACACTGGATATTTTTTCAACAGCCCATTTTGATTTTCAAAATGGACACATTTTTTTTAGTAGTTTCATATGTAACAGACACAGCAATATATCAGCTTCAACCTTTGTTGTTGGTACTTGACGAGACTGACGATCCCTATTTGCTGCATGTGTCCACATGTGAAAAGTAACTGTGCACAGATGCAGTCACAATGCACTGTACCTTTTTATAGGAATGCATATCCATTACCTACTTTTCCTTGGTGAAAACACACACATACCACACCCACCCACCCACCCACCCACCCACACACACACAGGCACACAGGCACACACAATTACCTTAATGCTGCCTGCTGTAAAGAACACCCATAAAGTCCATTTGCTGTAATGTACCCTGAGCCTCCCTCCCGTCTCCTCCCTGGGGAGAATTGTAATGAGTGGATGGGCCACCGGCTGACACAAGTAGAGGGATAAATCCAAGGAGAGGATAGCCAGTTCTCTGACCCCAGGCACAGCGTAGCATTCAGGGCTGCAGGACTAGACATTGCCGGGTGGGGTCCTCTGGAGGTCACCAGTAAAAACTCTTAAATCAGCTGCTTAGGTTGTGTGTCTCAAGATATGGAGGAAGCTACTGTAAGAAGGAGATATTTTTTTTATATCATCGAACAATATTATATGTACCATGAATCAACAAACACGTATGGGGGGGGGGGCACACATGCACACCCACACTCTTTATGAATCTGCAGCTAATGGAAAAACACCAGATATACTTTGTACATGGCAGCAATCCCACTCCTTTATTCCAGCACAAGTTGTTGGCATGAATTTATGGTCATAAGTATGACAAGGCAAATGTGGGCACATGGGGCAAGGACACCTTGGTTGGGTCTCTGGCTTCCATTCCACATCCGTCAGTCCCGATGTTATATCACTGTGTCAAAAAGGAGACAGACAGAGACTCTGCTTACCTTAAAGGACAGAACTGAAACACTTAGGGGTATTAAAATCAGAGGTAGAGGCCAGCGGAGGAGGCTTGATGGATAGCACTGAGCTTTGCCTGCCAGCAAATGGAAGGAGGAGAAGGAGTGGTCTAGCTCCCCTAGCAGTAAGAGAGACAGTCAGCACAGGGTCATTGGCGGCACTTATTCTGTCTTCTGGTTTTGGGGGATCAAGCTGTTAAGGTGATTATCTGTGTCACTGCTGCCCTTAAGAGGTTTGGTTGAAAGAGAGTGAAAGGCAGATTAGGAGAGGCAGATAAAACACAGACTCTGGAAAGAACAAAAAAAAAGGAAGGAGGGGGGGCTTGAAAATGTGCAATAACATGACTAGCTGTGTGTGCAAGAGAGAGATCACACCAATAAAGAGAAAACTGGATGTGGCTGTTTGTCTTTCATCTCCAGCTGTGTTGTCAGGGCTCATCTCTCTGCTGCTAGTGATCCTCCACAGAGGCATAAGATGAGGGAGGAAGGTAGATGAGCCGGATCAATGAACTCGGCTCAGGACCGGAGACACAGAACAGAACCAGCCGGTGTGATTGAAAAACATTTCACAAAGAGAACGTGAAAGTCTCGTTCTGAAATCATCTAATATTTAGCTCTTCATATTAGAAAATACACCAGAGGGGGCAATAAGAACAAATATAAGAAACTAGACACAATATTAGAAAACAAGAGAGACGTAGACACATACCTCTGCCCAGGCTGCACAGTCATCATCTAAATGTGTCACTTTAATCAGTGAAAATGTTTTTAATCTTCATTTTGGAATTGTGCAAAATGTCAAGAGTCAGACTCGTATTGCTGGTGTGCCATCTATACACACACACACACAAAATACTATCAACTTTTGAAGCTTGTGTAATAAGTATGAGAATGTGGCAGTCAAAAACAGTATGGGATATTTAAAAATGTATGAAATTCCATTGCCAAAATGTAAAAAAAAAATTTATAACGTAGGAGTGCTAAAAGAAAAAAAACACAGATTGTGGGAAACGTTGTTGAAACAGAAATAGGTGGGTCCTATACTCCTATACTGATGTTCTGGAATCTGTAAAACGTTGTTTTTTTTTCTTAAATGCAACCGCTGTTTATAATATATTGAATAGTTACATGGTGAAATCTGTGTTGTAGTTAACTGAAACTCTCCGACAGATTTATGAACATTAGATAAACCAGTTGCTCAATGCCTTTTCTGTACTGTAATATGCTTCCCGGCACAGGAGAGTAGTCTGAAAATGCCCTCAAGTATTGTACGTAGGAGGCCAGACATTCATTGAATGCTATATTTCACCTCTGGTTGACTTGTGTATATACTGAAGTGATTGTAATTGCCAGTTTGTGTGATTACCTAAGTTTTCTGCTATGCTTTTTGTCTGCAGGCCCTCATTCAGCTGCCGGTCTACATCTCCCAGTGCGAGGAGGTCAGAGTATTTTTTGAGACCAGACCTGAAGACCTCAACCCACCCAAAGGAGTACAGTACCACGCATGGACACCACACCACACACACACACACACACACACACACACACACACACACACACACACACACACACACACACACACACACACACACACACACACACACACACACACACACACACATCTCCTCAACTGTTACAAATGCTCAGGGCTCACATGCTATGGGGAAAGCCCATCATTGTTTCCGTGACTGATGTCATGTCACATCCCGTCAGCATTTACCACCAGTCTGCTGGTAATGAGCATTCATTACATCCTCTAATGGATATGATTTCATACGGTTGCACCACTTCCTGTTGGATTTTTTCAAGCATAAACACACTTAATGGGTCCTTTTGTTTTTTGTTTTTTTTTGTTTTTTTTTAAATGCTGAGTTAGCATATAAGCATGTAGCTGCAGCTCAGTTCAGCCACCAGGCTCCAGACAGCTGAGACTGCACGCCTGCTCCCAAGGTGTGCAGACCCGCTCTGTTGTCTCTTGTAAATCTCACTCAACACATTAGCGTCATATCCAGTGCTGACAGTTAACTATGTGCTAAAACATAAGACATCAGTGGGCAATCAATGCCAGCCTCAAACACACACACACACACACACACACACACACACACAGACACAGGCCACAGTTGCGAATGTGTTGTTATTAGAAGTTAGCAGCACCTTCAGGGCGGTGGAGGTTACGGGTGGCTGGTTTCATAGAGACCATAACCCGTGGCTAACATTTAACCCTTGAGATGTTTTTCCTTTTTCTTTTTTGTTTTTTAACGCCAACAGATGTCAGCTGTCAGCTGAGGCATTCGCTTTAACTTCTCTGTCATCACGTACCGATGAGTGGCACCAGGCGTTGAGGAGTTGCCTCCGTCAGCAGGGAAATTAGTTAACAGGTCCTGTTATATATGGCAGGAGTGCATGTTGGGAAAGCAGTAAGGTAGCGTCTGAAGAAGAGAGTCACATGAATGAAAGTGTATCACCATGAGCTAATCATTTCCCTATAGACTGCACTAATAATATGAATAATATAACATAACTGTGCGCTCTTTTGCCAGTTTCTATTGGAAAAATTCATCATTTTGTACTACAAAGTTAGAGATATTCCTTGAACTATTGCATCACTTTCCACTTTATTTTGTTTGCATTGTGCAACAATAGCCTCCATCAGGACTACAGTAACACCCAGTTTCTGTAAAGCCCCTAAGCGAGGGAATTTCTCTGGCATGTCTCAACTGTGTTGTCATCTTGCCATTTAAACTCATTAAAACTGCTGAGCAGCTGAAATCTGAAAATGTAGAAGAAAAAAAAAGAAGAGGCAATCGCTGTGACAGTTCATCCAGCCCTTCATTCACTCCGCACTGCTACCACAGCAACAATTTTCAAATGCAACATACTGTAGCTATAATTTTTATTTCAATTTTTTTTTTTGCCTTTCATAAAGTTCAACAAATAACATTATGTAATGTAATTATTAACACATCTCATTAAAGCGGCACAACGTTCACATCGTGCTTACAATTCATATCCTTCTTGCTCAAGGGCATTGAACGGGACACATTGCTGTTATGGGGAATGAGATGAGTGCCTGCGCCAGTCTGCCATATCGTCATCTAGAACGCGAATGGATTAAATGTCACATTGAAGTGTGCTGTCTGTTGCCGTCACATAGTCTACCTGGGCCTGTGATAAGAGAATCAGACTGTTGGGAATGTGTCAGTCAGCGGAGGCGCTTCTCTCCTTCCCGAGATTTTTTACTAATGTGACAAACATAACCCTCTGCAACTCTCCCGTAACAAGCCCCTTAATATCTGTGCGTGATCAATATGAAAGAAGCTTCTTATGTTATTATCTGTAGGTGCGCAACATTATACCGCTCCTATTTCTGATGTTAAACTACCCATTGAAGACTAGACTAAATGTTTAATTATTGCATTATACAGCGGTGGGAAGTAAATTTACTCAAGTACTATACTTAACTGCCATTCTACCTTGTACCACTGGTATTATAAAACAAGCAACTCACAGGACAAAATGCTACTTGCTCAAGAATAGTTCATATTTCCTGTGTCCTCTTTGACGTTGGGAAGCTTTCCACTCTGTAGTGGCTGCCTATCAGTTATATGGTAATCAGACAGCTCTCTGAAATGGCAGTGGGTATTGTCTGATAGTAAGTGGATATTATGTCTGAAAGAATCAACTGTTTCTCTGTATGTATAGTTCCTGACAGCTCGACCTCTCTCTCTCTCTCTGTCTCCTCTCTCTGTCTCACACACACACACACAGACACACACACACACACTTTGTCTTGCTGTCCTCCCACAGTGAGGTTGCCAAGGACACATACCTCCGTACTCCTCATACAAAACCCCAAGCATGTGTTGGGAGAAGCAGGAAAGAGAGGGGGCATTTACTTGAGGCGGATGAATATAGGAAAGACCTTGGTTTGTCTTTTATTGAAATTGGATTACTGCTTTCTGCTAGTGCAGCCTGTTGTTTGGCTGACTGACAACAGGGCTGGTGTACAGACACAGCAGCCACTGTGGGAGAAGATTTATCACAGCCTATAAATCTATTCCACTGAGAGGGACATCTTGGACTTTCTACTTAAGAGCTGCAAAGTTAGAGGAGGAGGCGGAGTTGGGGGGGGGGGCGTAAATGCAAAGAGAAAGTAGTGGGTCCGAACTAGAAAAGACAGGCTAGTGTGGGAAGTGTCTGTAGAAAAGAGGAAGCGCTGCACCAAGGATGGTTAAGCGAAAGCAAACGGGGAAAGTGGGGGCGATCATAGGGGAAGAAAATAGAATCAGATGGTGGGCCAAGATGGAAATAGAGCTGGACGGAAAAAATGAAGAGGAGCTTAAAATACAACTGAGACAGAAGGAGGTGAAAGGGTGTTTAACTTTACGGTTGTGCTCCGGGTGTAGAAACCTAACGCATATACCGTCCCTGTAGAAGAGGCTTTGATAGATGTCACCTTATTTGTGTCTCTTCTGTAACGGCAAACCTGCAAAGTGTGTTCTCATGACTATGTAGTTATAGTTTGTTCTCCCATTCATCATCTCAGTGCCCTGCATGTGACTCAACCTTCTCAGCCTGATATGAAATTTCCCATGAAAGTTGAAATTGAAGTTTTGCCCTAATGGTTTTGTAACGAGACTTAGAATAAAATAAAAACAGGGAGTGGAAGGATTCATTTCATTTGATACTGTAAAGTAGTTCAAATAATCATATTAGGCTATGGGTCAGTTAGTGGCTATGTCCGGTGCGTATCTTGACCATGGTTTCACCGCGGAGTTGAAAGAGCAAACACGCACGCACGCATGCACGCACGCACACACACACACACACACACACACTGCTCTCCTTTAATAATCCAAATCATTGGTATTGCTTTGGTTGGCCCAGGCAGAGATTTCTTTTTATAGTACGTTAATGGGCACGCTTATGGGTAAAGATTTATTGAGACCCAAGCCCCTGCAATTAACAGTTGTGTCGATTGAACAGTGCTTTTTGTGGCTGAGAGCGCTCATGTTGATGCAGGGAAGCGAACAAGGAGCAGCTGCCAAGGAAATGATTAAGGGAGATGAAGGAGCGAGTGGAGTAGACATGGAAGATGTGAGATGGAAAAAGAGAAGGCGATGGAAGGCCATAAAGTAAGGGAGCAATATTTAGATAACAAAGAGGCTGAGACATAGCGAGCGAGGGAGTAAAATACTGAGCATTAGCCACCATTGACTTTTCGGGGGAATCTGGACATTGAATCAGCTCCTGACTGCTTCTGTGGAGTGATGGTCTATTTATCTGGCTAATGTCTAAACCAGACACAGCAGATGCTGTATTGAATTTACCATCAGAGGCTCCTTACTCACACTGCCGTACATCAGAGAGAGACGAGGCAGAGAGACAGATTCTCTTCTCATATTTATCAGATGCCGCATATAAACAGATCTAAACAGAAAAATGATAATATTAGCAGTTCATGTTAATTCTTTGCTGGAGGGCATCACTCCTCTGTTGTATTGTTACACCATGAAAAAATTTGAAAAAAAAAAAAAAAAATCATATGAAACAATTCAAAAACCGATTAAAACTCATCAATTCAGAGTTTGTTTAAAGAGCGTCATTAGTGCCAGACTGTAGTTAAGTGAAAACAGCAAGAGTGACAGGGATGGTAGTAACAGCAGCAGCAGTATAATGAAGTGAATGAAGAAGTACAAGAGCCAAACATCGTCTTGGAACACGCGAGTAAACTCTTGATTTCTGTACCAGGGTCACTCCTGCAGAATAAAGACTGATTGATAACTCATCAGTGACAGTAATGAGTCTGAATTCAGGCCGTCGTCCTATGTTTTTTTTTTTTTTTTTTTTTCAAATTTTAAGATATTTTTGTGACATCTACAAGTTTTCGTGAATTATTCCAAAAAATGTAAAATAGTATTTGTTGGCTAGGAACATCTCCTTAGCTCCAGTAGTAATGTGATGATTTCCTCTCATTACCAGGGAACCCATGGGAAAGAAGAAATCAGGTAAGACGGCAGCTTTATTTGTGCATTTTAAAATGAAATGGGGTTGAGCTGGCCTTGACTATTGTGTGTCATTTTATCCTTGGGAAAAAAAAACAAAAGAAAATAGTGCAGAAATATAATCAGGTTCTTTTTCCTTATGAATACAAGTCCTCTGCAAATTATCTGTAGTATATAACATCATCTCCATCTAGTGGTCATTGAATTTTACACAAAAAAAAACAATGATTCCACCAGAACAATTTTAAATGTCAATCTGGAGTTGACTGTATATACTTTTTTTTTATATATATCTTCTCTATCCTCTTCACTCATCTAATATTCTTTTAAGTTGCATCCATGTCATTTTTTTTCAGTTTTCTTCTCCATTCATTTTCCTTTCCATCAGGGCTTGTGGAGAGAGCGACCACTTTCCTAAAGCGAGGTAGTAAACATGCTGTCATGGTTGGTCGTGCTGTGTGTGTGACCCAGCGGGTTGCTAGTGGGCTGTCCCCCCCTCTCCTTCCCTGGCCTGGGCAGGTGGGACGTGGCTCTGTTGAAGGCTTGGGGCTTGCATTTGGTTCTCTAAATGAATCATACAGTGTAACTGATTAACTTTTTTTTTTTTTTTGGGGGGGGGGGGGGGGGGGGGGGGACTGGAGATAATGGCAGGATTTTTACCTTGCACCTACATCAGAGGGATTCTCTCTAGACCGTGGATGCAATACGGCCTTGTATTCTAGCTCGGTTATGTTTTCAGCATCAAGCTAAATCATGTAGATTGAAGTCATGCAAATAATTCTGCAGTATGGAATCTTAAGAGTTAAGAGGTAACTGGTTGAATTCAATGGAAATGCTTGAAACCAAAGAGCCATTTCAATTCATGTGTGTGCAAAATATCATGAAAATTGAAAAGGACTAGGAAATCAGAATTTCCTATTTCGGAAAATTGGAAATTGAACATCACAAACTCATTATGTAAAAGCTAAACTAAGTTATGTCTTTGGGATGAATTAATAAAGGTTTTGTTAATCCATATTCCCAAATTCTTTGTATTTAAGTTGGCTAACTGGTTCTTTTCTTTGAATTAAACTCAACCAGATATATCATTATATTAGTTTACCTTAGTTCTGCCTTTGCATGAGTTTGCACTACTATTCAAATTTCTTATTGACAGAATTGAGAATCTATTGCAGATAACTTGTTTTTATTAAAGCCATTTGCCCATCTTGCTGCAGCTCACTGAAGGTTGTTCGTGGAAAGACAGGCTGTGGTACTTTAAGCTGTTTTTAGATCAGTTAGAATTAAGCACATCTGTGCTTTCTCAGATTTTTCTCATCTGCTCAGACCTGTTTTCTGTCTGCCTGTGAGTCACGGACACGTTTGTTGAAAAATGTGTCCCATCAGCACCTTCAGTGATCTGCACTGCTGTGGTGGGTGATGTTAATGTCCTGCCCTTGAGGCATAAAGGTTAAAATCTCAACGCGCTATGTGTCAACCAAAAGGTACTTTGTTCAGTTACAGCCGTGGTTGTACTGTGAGCCTTCGTGTGTTAAAAGTAGATTTTTCACAGGCTGGCTTGGTGCTAACATTGGTGGTGGGTCTTGGTGGTGCTGGTTTGTGTCTCTGTGGAAATCACAGCCGTGTTTATGATTGTCTTAACCCTTGACACTTTTTAACTTTCTCGTTCACTCCCATTCTCCCCACATTTCCTTTTTTTTTTTTTTTTTTTTTTTGAACTTACCCCTCTGTCAGCTCTTTGTTTCCCCTCACACCGTCTCTCCAACCACAATCCGCTACCTCCTCTGCTTCATGTCGGGGGTGAATCTCCATACTGCAGATAAGCCTCCTCTCACTTAAAACCATGTGGCTCAGTAGCTTCTTCTAAATTTCCATACCTTGGAATTATTCTCGGCATTTCATCAAAAACTTATTGTAGCTCCGCAGATGTTTTGTAAAGAGCATGCTTAAACTGGATTTCCGGTTAAGTTCTTTGGAGTGTGTGTGAAATCTGACATTTTAAAAAGGTCAAATTACATTCGCTCAATTAGAGGAGAATGAAAAAAAAAAACACTCTCAAAGCCACACAGATGTAATCTTATGATTCCAAGTTCATGAACATCACCTTTTAATATCACATTACCAAACATTACTAAAGATCCCCAGTGAATAACAGGTAATGAGAGGAGGCTTTTGTTTTTACATTATTGAGATTTCATCCGTAGCTTGTCTAAGAAAGGAGCAGGAACAGAAAAGAGCTAAATGAGCCTCTTTTCCCCATTTACAGGAGATTCCACTTCAGCGGACCCCCTCCTCCTCGACCAGTACGTGGCGGTAACAGACTATGAAAAGCAGGAGAGCTCTGAGATCAGCCTGCATGTGGGCCAGGTGGTGGAGGTCATTGAGAAAAATGAGTCTGGTAAGTTCTATAAAGCATCCAGTATAGTCTTTCATTATTATTATTATTATTATTTTTTTAAGTTTGTGCAAAGGAGGTTGGTTTAAATAGATGGTGGAAACATCAGTAGCTTTAGTTGACAGCTGTGGTGCCTTTGAATACAAGGCTAAACCTAATGCTTGTGGAGTTTTTCCAGTAATAAATAGTAGATGAGGCATACTGGCAAATGCCCCCAGGTGTGACTGTGTGCTACAAGTATTTGATATATATTATTTCACAGTTTCATTTATATATTAAATTAAATATTAAATGGAAGGGCCGCACTTATTTGTCATGCATTCACAGCAGCGAATTACCATGAACCCCTTGAATGAAATGAGCATCTCATGTGTTCACTTTTTCTATCCTGCTCATTCAGGGTGGTGGTTTGTGAGCTCGGAGGATGCCCAGGGCTGGGTTCCTGCCACATGCCTCGAGGCACAGGATGACCCTGATGACTTCAGTCTTCCAGGGGAAGAAGGTACGTAAAGCTTTCCAGCCGGGGGCTATTGTTTACTCTCAATATTGTGAAGTATGTAAAGAGGCCCATTTAGCATTCAGTCTCAAATACAACTGTACATGCGAGTTATTTCTTCCTTTTGGTATGATGTGACTGCAAGTAGGAGTTAAACTGTACTTGTGTGCACTTCTGGCAAATATTTGGCATATTTTACCAAAGTGCTGCTGTCTTCCTGTTGCCCTCTAAAGCACAATACGCATCACGTGTAGTGCCACTATTTGACAGACACTATTCGACTCCTATAACACACACCAGACGCTAGATATAAATGGAAGTATTCAAGGTTCAGTGGTCAATAAGTGTGTCATGTTCTTCTCTTAAACACAGCAGTCCTAATATGTTTAAATACTCAAATTATAGAGCACTCATTAAAAAAAATATATTTAACGTATATATAAAAAAAAAAATTAAATAAAGGTGAAGCTGGAACAAAAACAGGAACAAATAGAAAAAGAAAATGCCATCCATAGTATCTGGGTAAGTTCCATAAAAAAAGCATGATGTAGATGTTAAAAGAATGATACTGTGCAGCACATGGTAGGAGCCATACCAAGCAAAGACATGTACCGTGCCAAAAGTGCAAAATTACAGACCATATTTCAAAGTCTTGGAAAGCCTGAGAAGTATGTAGTTTAAGAGTGGACACAGAGCTGGCTGCCCTGTGGTCGTTGGGAAGGTCACTCCTTCAGAGCCCTGAAATTAGAGAATCACTAATCTAACATCTAACATCCACATTCACTGGCATTACCACAGATGTCTAGAAGTACAATACAAAAAACAGAGGGGAGTAAATTACCAGTTGAGCAAGTACATAAAAAAGTACAGTCAATATTGCCCCAATGATGGTCAGCATCAGTTCTGCAAGTTTCTCTGTAATGAGTTCGATTTAATTTAATAGTCTCAAGACGATGCTCAAGGCCAACATCACCTACATATCTTTGTCATGAACTATTTGGTCTATGAGCGACTATTAAAAGAACAAGTTATAAATAAAGCTACCTTCTGTGGCAGCAGTATAGTACAGCAGTGTCACCAACATATTGCTAACAGACTGGAAAGGGGATCCAATGGAACCTACTGTATAACAACACAATGATTAAAAAAAAAAACGCAGATGTTCCACAAACAGATGGATTATTCATCCACAAGTCGTACCCCATTTACAGACCAATAATCCCTTTAGGTGCCAAGCCTGCTTGGAGTACAACTTTTGATTTCCTCTAGGTCCACTAATACTGAAAATGCTTTAATTTGGGATGGAAAGATCACCAGAATGACATATGTAATGTTCACTTCCTATTTTGCCCCACTTACTGTACTGGGATCAGTGCCTCGGAGATTCTGGTCACTGCCAAGGCACGTGGGTCGTCGCAGAACTTTAGGGGATCTATTCAGCACAGGCTTTGGGCAAGGTGGAGCGCACGCCTTTCTTTTCCCCCTTATTCTAAAATGTGTGTGTGTGTGTGTGCACACGCATACACAACTGTGTGCATGGTTGTTTATGTGTATGCATGATATGTATGCTGCATGAGAGACCCAAGCATGTAAATTAAATCCTTGCATGCACAGTGGATTGTGTATTTGTGTGTGTATCATATCAATGTGTATCATTTCAATTAACCAGCATTAATAAACACTTGGTAGACCAGCGCAGTAGATTTACATCTCTGTGATAGAAATAATAATAGAAAATGTAGTAATTACTGCATTTGTAGTACAGTAACAAGTTTGTCCTGTTCGTGGTCAGTATTTGTGGAGGATGTATGTGTGTTTTTGTGTGTTGCACAAGTGTCTATCTTACATCTTCTCACTCCACAAGATGCTGCTCAAGCCTTGCCTCATTGAACCGGTTAAAGTAAAGCCAATGTACTTCTGTAGCAACTTCAGTATCTCATCCTAAGACACACACAGAGACGGTTGTGTTGGACTAAGTATTTTTGAACTGGGCACTTCTTTCTCCCAAGCTTTTACCCTATGTCAGCATTTATTTGTGCTCCCCTTATTTGTGAATCTGTACACAATAATCTTCAAAACAGACATTATGTTCTTAAAGTTTACAATACTGTCTTTTTCCTGACTCTAGAAGAGAAGTATTCAGTGATTTACCCATACTCGGCCAGGGACCAGGATGAGATCGACCTGGAGAGAGGCATGGTTGTCGAGGTGATTCAGAAGAATCTGGAGGGCTGGTGGAAAATCAGGTGATTCAAATTAGTGACATTCACTTCCCGAGATATCCCTGTTAAATATTTTGGGGATGCTCCTCTTAAAAAAAAACAAAAAACATTAATATCATAAATATAAAAATCTGTATGAACTAAAGAGGTAATTTCGCTCTCATCCACTCAGGTACCAGGGCCGTGAGGGCTGGGCCCCAGCCTCCTACCTGAAGAAGACGGACATTCAGAGCCAGAAGCAGTCAGCAGGCTCTGCTGCTCATGCCAGTACAAACGACCTCGACGGGTTTTCCAAACAGAACCAGCAAAACAATGCAGCCAAGGAGAACAAGGACAACAGCCAGAAAGAAAACAGGCTGTCACTTTTCTCCGACAGCAAAAGTAGTAAGTGAATATAGTATATATGAGTATAGAAATCAATAATGCACGGAGATGTAAAAACACTAGAAAGTATACAAAATGTATTGCACGTTAAGCGATCAAGTGTACACAATTTGCCGAGGTAGTGATTTGCTTTAGGCTAGTCTTATTGTCCAGCCAAAATCACAGACTCAGTATTTAATGTCGAGTCTGAACGGAAATAAAGAAAAACCTACGTGCAAAATGTGTGAGAATTTCATAGTGCACAGACGGGCTTGTGCACCACTGCTTTGCGAATGTACACCTCAGCAAAATGATCGATGACATGTCTTTTCCCTCCGCAGAAGTGGGAGCAAGACACAGACCTCCTCCGCGCAGAGACCTTACCATTGTAAGATTTGACACAGCAAGGATTCTGTTGTATTAGAAGACAGCTCTCAGTTTATTTTTGTTTTTAATCTTTTTCCTCAACTTAACCTTTTACACATCTCTCTCTCATATATCGCACAGCCCCGTGGTGCAAACCTGCCCAAGCCACCCATTCCTCCTCAGGTTGAGGAAGAGTTCTACACCATTGCAGATTTCCAGACCACTATCCCTGATGGTATTAGCTTCCAGGCTGGAGTTAAAGTCGAGGTGGGTCAGGCACTCCCTAAAATCACATTAAAATGAAGTATGAAAAATTATTTTATATTGAAATCATTTGGTTTTGGATAAGTGTTAAATTTAATCTATTCATTTATTTTCGTGATGGATCTTGACTTTATACTTTCTTTTTGCCCTGTCAGGTGATTGAGAAGAATGCAAGTGGTTGGTGGTACATCCAGATAGATGAGAAAGAGGGCTGGGCCCCTGCTACCTTTATCGACAAGTACAAGAAGACCAGTAATGCCGTGCGACCTAATTTCCTTGCCCCTCTGCCCAATGAGATGGAGAAGCTGAGGCTGGAAGATGGTTCTTCAAATGCTGCGGGCACAGATGACAGTTGGTCCAAGCCTTTACCAGATGAGCCAGGCAGCGAGTCCTGTGCCCGGCCTAAGCTTAGAGACTGGAAGTCCAGTGCCACCAAGGTGGCCCCTCCCTTCTCCGGGCCTTTGCCTCCAGCCCCAGCTGCCCCTCCGGTCGAGGAGAAACCAGCTCTGCCACCTCGCAGGGAGTCCATTAATAAGAGCTTTGAATTGGAGGTAACAGAGAAACCAAGACCTGATCATTCCAAGCCTTTGCCCCCAAAACCACCGGCTCCTGGAGTGATCATGCCAATGGTTACACCCAAGGCACCCCCATTCAAACCAGACAAACCAGCAGAGACCAAGAAAGAAGATAAGAGCAAAGCTCTTCACCTTCGGAATGAGATGGGTCTTGAATGCGGTCACAAGATCTCTGCCAAAGAGGTGAAGAAGTTTAATCTGAAACCTGTTCCTAAACAGCCACCAAAACCCAAATCAGAAGTGCAGGAGGAGAAACCAGAGGCACCTGGCCCATCAGTTTTTATGAAGGCCAAGCCAGTGGTCCGACCTAAACCTGTTCCAGCTGCAAAGCCAGACCCCCCAGCAGAGAACAAACTGGACATCACCAACCTGAGAAGCAAGCTGAGGCCATCAAAACCTGCAGATCCCGGGTCTGCGTCAGCTGAGGTGAACCATCAGAATGACACCTCAGTGGCAGCAAATAGTTCCCGTCCCAGTTCACCCCCTTGCTCTCCCCCCATCCACATCCCTACTCTCAACAATGGTAAGTACTGTGATGAGCCAAAAATCCCCCCAAAACACATTAATGGTCATAGCCAGGAGAGCTCATCTCCCCCGCCCACAAAACCAGCAGTGCCTCCCCACAAGGAGCCCCCTCAGAGACCCCCCACCATGGCTCCAAGAAGACCACCTCCTCCAAAGAAGACCGACCCGTCCAGTCCAACTGAGCTCAAACCTCCATCTGCTCTAAAAGAAGCCCAGGACTTTCCCAAGGCCGGACCACCCCAACTCAGCAGACCCCCTCCCCCTAAACCCAAAGGGTTTGTTCCGGCACCTCCAAACAAAGAGAAAGAAGAGTCCAAGTTTAATAAAGTCCCAATTCCTCCCAAGCCCCAGCTGAAGAGCGAGAAGCCAGGCCCGCCCAAGGACAAGCTTCCACCTTTACTCAAGGAGCCAAGTAAGGATGAGCTGTATCTAGCTGTGGCAGACTTTGAAGGGGATGAACAAACATCCGGCTTCAAGGTGGGTACAGTGTTTGAGGTGCTGGAAAAAAACAGCAGTGGCTGGTGGTTCTGTAAAAATGTAGGAGAAGAAGTCGAGGGCTGGATCCCCTCGAATTACCTGAGCAAAAAACCTTAGTGTGAATGAGCTCTCAAAACCATCGCCATATGAATAAGTAAATAAACTAAGGATTTAAATGAACAAATTATCACTACTTTGTAGCTTATTAGCATTTTTTTTATTTTATTTATAGGTACCTTCTTTTTTTTTTTAATTGACACGTGTTATGTTTAATTTTGATAAGGATGTTCTACCTAAACTGAACCAGCAATAACACATGCCCTTATGGGTCTTGTGATGTTTACTTGTTTTTAGTTTTTGTTTTTTTAATCTAAAAATTACATTAAATATTAGGTAATGTTATTTGCTTTCTTTGTCATATGCTAGTTGCAGCCTGTGCCAGTCCTGCCATTACAAAGGCTAGGCGTTATAACAGCGATTAATGTATCTACACCCATGCCTTCTATGATATGGTGCCTCAATATTATATGCAGAGTGCTTCAGTGCTTAATAAACTGTATGCAACTGTAGACGTAGTCCTTGCTGGAATCTTAAATCAAAAATCTACATCACAGGAGAAAGCACTAGATAATCAAATCCAGCCAGTCTTTCTCCAGCAGTAGACAAGTACTCCTAAATCCTTTAGACAAAAGACTGCACATGAACTCATTAGGGGAGTTCAATGACTACATGTGGGCTTTCAAGTGCTATTAGCTATTACTAAACAAAATGTCGTTGCCAAGTAGAAGTGCTGTTTGTTATACTAAAAAAAAAATAAATGCGTATTTGTTTTTAGTGCTATTGCAATGCTTCTCTTTCTTTGACTGCATAATTAATGTTGCAGTGACTTGTAACAGATGTGCACTTTTTCAGTCATATCAGATGAGGTTTAGGTTTGAAGTTTGCACATGCTTAAGGAAGGGGGAAGAATGCCACAGTGCATTTTATTTCTAAATTTTACTTGCCATTGTATTAGCCATATTTTTTTTTTTTTTTTTTTTATACTCACTGTAACAAAATATCCACTGATGTAAAGACGAGGCTAGGATAAAAATCAAAACTGAGAAGGTGAAAAGAAGCTCTGTCTAATGTATTTTAAACATTATCGTGTTCTCTCGCACCCAAAAATAAGAATTGTGAAATGTGACTTGCTGAGCACATCTGCATACCTGTACCAGATGTTTGACCAGGCGTAAGAAATTGGAGATCTACAGTGATTTGTGCAATGATTTACAGTATTTTAAGTGTACAGTCTGACGTTTGGTGCTCAAACAACAGCAAAGTATGACCATTGTATAAAAATAATGTTTTACATTAATGCTTGACTGGTCTCAAGCATGGTCAGTATAGCAAATTATTTTTTATTGTACAGTAATGAGAGTCATATCTGAACTGTTATCACTTTTCTGTGGTGGTCCATCTGTTAGGTCTTTGACTCTGTACTGATGGAGGGAGGAGAAGAAGAAAGAGCCAAGAGGGAATTTGATTGGTTGATTTATGGGATTTCTGAAAAGTACGTGGAAACCAGGGGCTGATCATTTCACATCAGGTGGTCCAGAATAAAAGAAAAAGTGTTAGATTTTCAAAATTGGCAAGCAAAATTGGAAACTCAAAAATGTGTGTTCATGGTTCTGGACATAATCAGACAAGGCTACAAGCTGTAACACAGATTGTGTTCCGCTTCTAGTCGCTTTAATGTTACACCACCTGCCACCCATGTTTTACACAGAAATGATGAAAGTATGTTACCAACTAGGAAAAAAAAAAGATCCAATTTCAATACATTTAAAATTGTATTGTTCAGGTGTAATTTATGTAGACAAAGGACATGAAGGTACAGTACAGTGCAAAGCAAACATGTGGGTTGATGGTGTCATCATTTCAGTATTGTAATCTTATTTACTTTTTTTTTGCTATGTATTTTTCATTACATCGAGTCTCCTTTTACTTAAGTCAATAAAGGTTTCTGATTTTTCAGTTCAGCTGTCAAACTGTGTCTCAAATGGCATTTCAAAAATCCTGAGAAAAATGTTTGTTTTTACATGTTTCATGATAACGGAAATACGTGTTTACTTGTTTTATTAGACCAAGGACACACACAGCATTTGGTGAGAAACAGCAAAAAGGTAAATATAACTTATTTGTATAATTTGTCAACAGGAAAACTCCACAGGTCACCTTTAACTATGGATCAAATCACTCTCCATAGAACTCAAAGCCACGTTTAGCCACTTTTTGTCCAGTGTTTTGGTTTTACAGTCTTTAATTTTAAAGTTGTAGAGTCTCACCACTCTCATCGACCATCGTTTGCAGCTGCAGCAGACAAAAGCTCAGATAAACTCACTGTACGCAACCTGCCCGGCACCAAACGGCAAAACAAAAGTTAGCAGCTAGCCGTGGAGCATCCACAGACGATTTAGCAGTAAGTTAAAGAGACATATTATTTGACTCAAGAGACCAGAAGAGCTACAATTGTGAAAATTGTGCTTACATTTGCTGATAGAAAAATGACTCCAAATGAATGCTAATGTCTTAAGGATGTGTAAATAGGCAGCTGTTTCCTAACACCTCAGCATTGTCTGAATCGTCTCCAAGTGGCAAAAAAAAAAAAAAAAGCATTAACTGTTGTACTGACCCACCTCTGTCAGCACAGCTCCAGCCTTGGTGCGCAGTGTCTTCACAGCTCTCCTCCAAACCGTGTGGTGTTCGCAGTATTTCCTCTCACACTGTGTTGCTGCAGGTGTTAAAGGAGCCGGTAACCTCTGCTACACTGCATCATGAGAACAAAGCACAAGATTAGATATATAAAGGTTAGTGGAAGTACTGGATGAAACTACTGTTAACAGGTGATTTATAGGTCCTCTTACCTTTTCCTTCAAGGTTCCACTTTTTCTGTCAATCAAGTGTTTTACTTTCAGATTAAGCAAACTGGAGCATCTGCCTCTTTTGTCCAAATCTTGCAGGTACCACAAACAGACCGACTTTAAACCGACTGAAGATTCCACATGTTCTCAGCTCGCTCGAATTCGGAGTTGAAAAGAAATCATGTCTAGACGTCAGTGCATCATTCTGCAGTCTTCGTAACGTAACATAAGATGTGCTTTTTGGTGGGCCACAATTCAGTAATTAGAAAATCTGCATTTATTAAGAGTTATTTACAACAGTGGTTCCTTCTGATACAGTTTCATTCACACTCACTACCCCCGCCCCACCCCTCCATGCAAACAATGTTATGTAAACTGAGGCAGAGGAAGACCTAGATGGAGCCATTAAACATGACAGAAAAGGGTATTTTTACAACAACTTTAAATACTTCTGAGACAGTGTGTGAGAGGGAGAGAGAGATTAAGCTGTACCTGATTGCTGACCTGCTTCTATGTAAATCTGCAGGCCAAACTGCTCTAAAAGAAAAAAAAAAAGCACTTTCTCTCATTTAACAAGGCAACAAGTTCTTCAGCTGCAAACTAAAGGTTTCAGTTGAAGGTTAAACATCTACAGGCGTCTTACAGCAGACTGAATTGTTGCACTCCCTTAAAACTGATATGAAGAGTTATCTTCCAAAATCAGATCATCATTTGAAAGATTATACCTCTTAAGTTATTGCTTGCCAAGAACAAAAAATGATGAAGATGAAATCATTTTAAGCATCATCTCTTTCTAAAAATGTTGACGCATCTGTTTTTGGTGAAACTCTTCATATTGCTCTCCCTCTCAGTGCAAAGGAAGGCAAATTACGAAAAATAAAACCTCTTTAAAGGTTAGCAAAGACATACATGTAATATTGCACTTTGGTTAGCAGGCAGTGCACTACTGCACATGGTATAACTATTATACACTTAATACCTTTTTTCTTTTTTAAATCTAGATTTAAATCCCCTGTTTAACATCCTTCAAAGAACATAACAGTATCTTTGCTTTGGCTTTGTCAGTTCCCATCCAGTGTGAATGATTTTTACAGTAAAAATACAACAGAAAAACATAACATAACATCAACACTATGTGAATAACAATTAGTCTTCCCTTGTCTGTTAAAATCTCATTCCTAAATAATCATTTAAAAGAAATTTTAAATTCTGATAACTTTGGATTTAGCCTCATCCCCCATTTTAAACAAGATAATAATGAGTACATCCTTCATACCATGGGTGTTGGTTAAAAAAATAAAAATAAAGGAAAATATTAAAATTAGCATTTACAGTGATAAATCTGGAAAAGGTTTTTCTTTATCAGTAAAAATAAATATGCGCAGACTTTGGCAGCTATATGACATGTAGGGGGGTCACTAAATCATTCATTTTTGGGTGTGTTTTTGGTCACATTTGGAAGACGGCACTGATAATTTGGGGGTAAACAAAAAAGTGCTTAGTCTCTGGCTCACCAGCTTTCATAGAAACAAACATTCCTCCTCATCATGCGAAAAAGAAATACCCTCGCTGGGTGCTACTTCTACCCAACCAAAATTTTCCTCAATATTTACTTATTAAGACTCGTTATTAGTTTGGTATCTTCAGCTCACCCAAACTAACAGCCACTGTATCATGTTATCCTAATGTTTCACTGGTAAGCTATAAAGGAGCGGACTAAGAAAGTGAATCAGAACACTGTATGGAAGCAGATACTAAGTAGCTGAGTCACGAAGCACATCACGAGTTTGAAGTCAATCAGATACTACAACACTTTCAAAGAAAAATGAGTTAACACATAAATATTCACTAAAACAATAAAGGAACCTAATGGAGGGATAGGCGTGCTGCCATTACTGGCAAAGCAAATTAAAACTGAAGGCAGCAGACAACTATAATGCCTGCCGGTGTATGGGTGAGAGTGTGTACGCTTATGTGTAGGTGCTATCAGTGGCCAGGCGACGTCGTGCAATATCACAGCGGCTGCTTTTATGTGGTAGAAGAGTCTTGGAAAGGCACAAACTTGGAGAGTTTGGTGGGAGAACTGGGGTTTGGGCATTCAGAACCCTCACCCATCTTGAAGAAAACCTCCTGCTCCTTTTTCTTCATGTTCAGCTCTTCTTCGAGGGCCTGGCAGGGTTAGAAACCAAGATATGTAAAAGCTTTTCTGACCAAGCTTACATAGAGGGATGGAAACTTCATTTATACTTATCTAATGACATGCAGGTGGATTATTACCATAACAAGATAGGAAAAACTATGAGAAAACTATGATTATTTGACGTAGAACAGATATACAGTATAATGCACGTAGCAAAAATGGACAATAAGAAACGAGTTTTAGTTTTGTTGGAAAAAAAATAAGTTCTCTTGTGCTCGAGCTGTTTTATAAAGTTAAAGGAATAGTTTGACAAAGTTGGACAGTTTGGGGAATATGCTTGTTTGGACGATTGATGTCACCATTATATCTGTGCTTTAAGTATCGCTCTGGAGCCAAAACTAGATTAGCTTAGTTCAGCATGAAGTCACTGCAGCCGGCTGCTTTTCGCTAAGACACAGTTACATCATGTAACCCCTCCATAAAACCATGACTTGTTCTTTGTTTGTGTACAGATTTCGCAAAGGAGATACAGTGTTAAATGGCGAGCTTTTAGCGCTGTGTGTAGGGATATTTTTGAACTGAAAAGAGCCGGGCTAGCCGTTTCCCCCTGCTTCCACTCTTCATGCTAAAATAAGCTAAATACTTAATCCAGATAAGACAATGGCATTTTTCTCATCCAAGTCTCAGCATGAGATTTTTTTGTTTTCAAATCAGCTGTTTTTAGATGGCTCTCTTAGATGGATATACACTTGTATCAGAAAGAGTCATTTCCTTATGCTCTGCTCTGATATGTAGAGAGTAAATCAGGACTATCCGGTCACTTAGCACTTCAATGATTTCAGTACATATTTAATGTAGGTTTACATTTTATGTAAAACATAAACATGTAGATAAACATGTAGGAATGTGAAATTTGTTCTGTATGACACACTGCAATAACATCTTGATGGGAAACATACCTTCTTTCTGGGTTTCAGCTGATCCCTCCATTCCTTCATCAGCTGGTTGTGTTGCTCATCCAGATGCTTCAGCCTCTGGGTCTCATTCTCAACCAGCAGGTGACATTTCTCATTCTGGGGCACAAAACAAGCTTTTGTTAACAACTGCAAGCCATTTATTGTGCTCATTTAGTGTGCTGTTCTATAGACTGGACAAATAAAAAAAATAAAAAACTCCAGATGGGAGACAACCAAACTCTAAAGAATAATAAAGAAATATGTGTAAAAGATGAGTCACCTGTAGCTGCTGCAGCTCTCTGATATTGCTTTCACACTGACCAATCATCTCTCTCATCTGGTTCTCGTGTTTCTGCTGCTGATGCAGCCTCTCTGACTTCTGCCGCTTATCCTCCTGCTGAGAAAACTAGAGCGAGAGAGAGAGAGAGAGAGAGAGAGAAAGTGAGTGAGTGACCTGCTGCATAATTAATGTTATGCTTAATCATGGAGTGAGACAAGCCTTTCCCTCTACCTGTTTGATCTTCTCTCTGTCCTCTGAGGCGCTTCCCGTCGAGTTGATGCGGAGGCTCTTCTTGAACATGGCCATGCGGGTCTTGGCTTCACTACGCTGGATCTTTGGCATCCGGTTCTTCTCCTGCTGCTGCCGGGCTTTCAGAATCTCAATCATTCGCTGATTGTAGCACTGCATCTGCTCCTGCTCCTGCAGTGACACAGAAAATAGATATACGTGGACTATATGTTGGATGGCAGAACATGAAATTTTAGCCGGACCAGGAAAATAAAATGAGAACGAATTCCGATGACTCGAGACTTGATGTTGACATTCGATCACATGATTTACCAAAAGTTAAATGTGTGTAGAATGGTGCGAACTTATTGTGGCAAGGTGCAGGTCCGATCCAATGGTTTACCTTCTCGTGTTTTTTAAGAAGCTGATGCCTCTGGAGGAAGTACTGATCTTTCAGCTGCTGCTTCAGTAACTGGTGTCTCTCGTAGAGATTTTTCTCCTCCATGTCCCATATCGTAGCTTCACGCTCTAATCAAAGTTATTGAGACACAATATGTCAATACTGTACAAATGTAACATCTCTCAACACCAGAGATTGACAAAGGATGACAGGACTTAGGGGGTTGTTAGTGATCAGATATTGTGTGTTGGTTTCACTTTCATCCACTGCCTAACTAGATACTGTACCTCTAACTAGGTTATGCTTCCTGTTAAGGCATTCCCTTTCCATTTCTGCAATCTCTTTCTTGTTGTTTGTGAGGATTTTCATCAGCGTGGTGTCCAGGTAGTTCTTCTGAGCCGACAAGAATTTCTCCTCCTAAAGCACAGAAAAGAGAAAGAGACATGGAGCGGATTAATAGGCGCTATACTATTCACAACTTAGAGTAGTCAGACATTTACTCCACAAAAGAAAAAAGTGTTACAATAATGCTCAAGGTGCCTTATCAGGAAGCAGAATGGAATATGTTCGACAGATGTATGAAAATACCATTAGCCCAAAGGTTGACCAAACAACTTACCTCTTTAACTTTTATTTCTTGGAAGGAATTCATCTGGTGTTTCAAGGATTCTTTACGCTGACTTCTGGGCAGCTTATCAACAGACTGTTTTACCTAAAGAAGGCACATTTCAGCCATATTCATAGACTTAGACACATAGGTAGGCCAGCAAAGTATGTGAGTATGTACAAAAAAAAAACAAAACAAAAAAAAAACATAAAAAGGACTAAAAGCAGTGTTCATTCCTTTGTCAAAACACCCACATTCACTATCTCAAACGTACCTCCTTTTTCTTGTGTTTCATATGATCCTGAAACTTGTGGTGGTCTCGTTCCTGCTCTGATTTGATGCGTTTGGTCTCGTCTTTGAGTCTAATGTTGTGGTCTGACTCCATCTTCTCAATAGTCTGCTTCTGATTCTTCTCCAGAGTCTCCAGCTCCCCGTCGTAGTGCTTCTTCTTGGTCTGGGATGAACCAATAGGAAACAAGCGCACTCTAAGCTTAGAAAATATGACACAAAACACTGCAGGGCTGTTTTTTTTTAATTAAGTGTAGACTCTTTTTATTACAGCAAACACAATGGCAACATGTGTGTCAAGAAAGTAAATAAAAGTAAATATGTTAATATTCATAACGGTATGATTAATTGTAGGGCTGTTGTATAGGATCACACATGTTGTCAGGTGTACCTAATAAAGTGTCAGTTTTGTGTGTGTGTGGCTGTGACTCACATTCATCTCCTGGTCAAAACGTCTCTGCATCTGTTCCCTCTGCGTTTCCAGTTTGGCGTTGAGAGCGGCCTGAGCACGGTGCTCTTCCTTCTGCAGCAAACGGAGGTCACGCAGCTCCTGGCGTCTAAACACACAAACACATACACACAGATTTTTAACATATATACAACTTTATGTTTTTAAGGTTCAATGGCAACTCAAATGGGCAATGTTAATACCGTTTCTGTTAGTCATCCACTTATTAGCTATCTATCCTGCAAACTGACATTAACAATGCAATATTCATGGTGTCTGGGTGTTTGTTTGGTCAGTGATTCAGCAAGTCAAGGTTAGTTAGGAAGGAGATATTTTAAGTCTGTTGCTCTTATTCTAGTTGTTTTATTTGGAAGGAACCATGTACAGTATTACAAACAAATGTTACCAATTGATGTTGTACCAGAGTTAGCTTTAAGATCATTTTCAATTGTTTTCTATGAACGGTAACATTGCTAGTCCATACAATAATGAAATGCAAAGACAGTGTGCCAAAAAATGAATATTTCTCCTGTTTGAATACTGATTTTCTGTGAAATAGACACAATTCTTTTGTTTTTACTGCAGTCATAGATGCAATGTCATATTCCTGCCACTAGATGGCAGGAGTAATGCACCAGGAACTCTGTAGGGCTTCAGAGGCAGAGTAGTGTGTCTGTCATAACTGCAATAATTGCTCTTTTTAAAACAATACAAAGCACATTATGTAACTGCACAACAAAAATAAAAAAGTATATGGATCCACTTTTACAGCATTTGGACTCCCTACACACTTAACCTCAACTTCACCCTCATCTAAAAGTAACTTCAGAGACATTTTTCTTTTCCTTTCAAACCATTACCTAAATTAGTCTTTTTCCATAACAGTTTGGATATTTGTAGACTCTCATCCCAAGGGGCTGAAGCCCAAAAGTTCAGGATGCCTTAAACAGTAGGACATGTGTAGTAAGCAACGTCCAGCAGGTCACTTATCACTGTATGGACTTCAGTCTGAGCTAAGGAATGAACAGACCCCTGAGTTCATGGCCCTCATTTAAAGGGAATGAAAACAGATGAATTTTTCCAAGAAAATGAAGAAGGACCAAGAGGTGGAGACACAGCACATATGTCCAGCTTATCTAGATGGTGATAGACAGATAAATATTTTAAGTGACAATAGACAACCTGACAGCTTTTTTGTTGTAACTTATTATTATGAAGTAAAGGTTGACTGCACAATGTAATGGCTATAGACTAATGACACCATCTGTGTTTAGACTGATACCCTATAAGCCCCACTTTCACTATGGAATTCCATGTGCCTCCGGGTATGGAATTTCGCAGAAAACTGAAGGCCGAATTCACGGCATAAAGGAAGTGCGCATGCCACTATGCAGCCAAAACAGGAAGAGGATAGTGCTTTTGTTTTCTCCGGTAGCTATCTGTGGCTTTCCCCAGGTAGTGGAAACGGTGGAGTAACTGTGAAAATTCTACCCAGCAAATGAAAAAGAGCACTGTTGTTTGAGGAGGCAAAGAAGGCGAAGACGTGTAGTGATAGAAACCAAGATAATACAAGAGTGACCTTGATGGTGAGAGCCACAGTCAGACTGGGTCAGAAATTCAGACACTGGGACCGACTTTACAGATTTTATTTTTTACTGTCCACTGGCCACCAGCTTTGCCCTGGTAGTTCCTTTTTGCCGCAGCAGCACCAATGTGAATATCACTTGGAAATGGGGAGAGTTGTCTATTGGCTCTGTATGTTTGTGTACCGAATGTGTGTTCTGTAGAGAGACATCCAACATACCTCAGGAATCTCATCTCCTCATCTTTCTTCTCATCATCCCTGATGATCTTGGAGGTGGTCACACTCACCTCCACACCGTCAATAACAAACTTCCTGGTTCGCTTCAGAGTCTTACTTGAGAAGTCCTGAGAAGCAGAAAGGAACATGGTCAGTTTTAGTCAGACCTTACTACAAGACAAGTCTTTGATTGTGCTTATTTACATGCATCTCAAATATGTTTGACAGTAAACTTTGGGAGTGCACTGATACTCTTTCTTGAGGTTATTCTAGTATTTAGTACTTTAGAGACATGCTGCGAGACAGTGAGTATGAGGTAGAACTAAGGATTGTACTAAGAACAATCCTACGGTACCTCATTGTGCCACTAAGAAATCCAATATTTATAAAGGTAATGTGTTTTATGGGTTAAAATAGCACTCCATTCCAACATTGTGAAACAAAAAAGGTTTAAGCTTTGCAGCAGAGCAAGAGATATTGTCTTTTTAATAGTACTCCCAAAGACTTGTAAACAGACTCTGATCTGTAAAATTGGTGGAGTTCCCCTTTGGGTATGCGTGAGCTTTTGATTTCTGGTGTGGTCTTTTTATCTGGTGAAAAGAAAGGCAGCTGTGTGTGTTACGTGTGTTGACAAAAGGCATTAATATTCCTGTCAATCTAGTTCTACTGTAACAAGCGACTAGATGCTCCATCTGTCACTGCTTCGGGGAGCGCCATGCAGGAAGTAACTGTTTAACAACAACACAATCTAATCCACTAAATATGACACAATGTGACCTGGCTTTTAAAGCTTCTTTAACTCTCTACAACAACTTGAACTATTGAGATTCGAGGTTTTAACCAAACAAGAGCAGTCCTTTTCCAACTATGGGCCGACCAAGAAGAATTTTGGAGGAATGAGAAAGGCAGCACAGGGCAATCAAACAATGGCTATGGGTCGTCATACTGCACATCACATCAATTGTTTAATAAGGAGTCAGTGCATGACCCCACCTTTTAATAAACAGACCAAGTTGTTCTGGCTGACTAAGCATGTGTTGAGGGATGGTAACATCAGCTGTGCCCTATCTAAATCAGCCTCCACTGGCAATATTTACAAGACTGATATGGCAGGGTTTACTCGGCAAACATTGGGTTAGCTCAAACCATGGGTGTCGTCATTTCCTGGTATAAAATTAGTTTATAAAAGAGAGAAGAGAAGAGAAGAGAAGAGAAGAAAGTGAGAGATAACAGCACTAGACTTAAAGGGAAAACAAAAAAAAAAAAAAAAAAGAAATGGATAAAAGAACAAGGAAAGCCATAAAGAACCAGGAGAGCTGCTCTCCAGGCAGGGTGGGAATGAATTTTGTTTGTGTGTGTGAACTGTTGTCCACTCAGTCCAAGCTACCACATGGAGCCACTACAGCTGAGCAAATACACTCCATATGAGTCTGTGTGAGGCTACTGCTAGAGATGACAGCTCCTGGACTCTAGTGTTGCACTGCAGTGAATTGATGATTCCCTTTGTACTTAACGGACACATTTACAAAAGCAATAAACACTTGTGCGCGTGTGTTGATAAGTAAACATTGGCTCTATAATCAGAGGACATTTGGGTTGTTTGTATCTCAGGCTCTACTCTTCACGACTCGGCGGACTTCCCATCACTCGCCATTCACAAAACAGCACACACACAGTTCTCCTATACACACACACATACACACACGCAGATGAATTCATGAGCAAATGCATACGCTAATGCTCTCCATCATGCACACGTTCGTGCAGAGACACACACACACACACACACACACACACACACACACACACACACTAATCCCGTACAAAACAACAGACTTGACTTAATATGCCTGCCTGTCCTCCTATCCTAAAACAAAGATTGCCCATTCACTGGCACTGCAGGCTGCTGGCAGAGTCGCCTGCTGAATAATCTGTTCTGGAAAAACTTAACATACCACAAACAGACACGACACCACGCACAGTCAATAGGATTTTCAATCATGCTCAGTCCATAAGCCTCCAGAAGCAACCGAGTGACAATGAGCTGCACAGAAACTTCCATTCACAGCGATGAATACTGAACTGTGCCCACACAAAGGGCACTGTTGGTCCCGATGAATGGGAAATGTTGCATATTTTTTTTTTGCTTCAGAAAGGCTCGGTGTCTAATGATAAAATGGTTTCTGTCTTCTCTCTCTTCAGCTTCCTAACTTCCCCTCCTCACCAGGTCTGTGAGGCACGACTTTGGTGATTGTCAAGTTTAGTTCAATTGTCTTCTATGGGAAGAAAATTCTCCTTTTGGGGCTAATACAACTTTAAAAAGCCTATTCCGTTTTGGAGAAGTTTTTTTTATGATATATATGTATATACTTTTAGAGTATTTGTCCATCATTCTCAAAATAAATTCATATTCTCCATAAATTCTAACCAATTAACCATTAACCAGTGACATTCCCCACATCATCCCTAAATTTAATGTGCGATGCAAGCTTAATGGAAGACAAGCTATCCTCTGTTTCAGATGGTTAACACCCACAGCCCCAGACACAACACAATGCAGTTTCAGTTCCTCTGTGGGTGCCAAGAAATAGTTTTTCCAAGGAGGGGTTTTCCTACAGAGGCAGCGGGCTGGTCTCTGCCCCTCTCTTACACTTCAATGCTGGTCCTTTTTTCACCATAAAAACAAGATCTATTGAAACACTCGGGGCCAGCAAAAAGTGCCACCTACTGTACGTATTCCTCCGAGTAGAGGAAGGTTTGCTTCAAGTAGACTCACCCTTGCAGACAATGAGATGGTCTCCCTGTGGATCGACATGTCCATGCTCTCAGATGCCATGCTGCCTGAGTAAGAGTACCGTTTGTTGATGATCCCTCCATTGATATAAGGTGAGACAGTCTCAATATTTCCTCCTATCGATGTCCGCTCTGGGGTATCCTTGGTCAGGCTCTCATTCGGCCCAGAACGGGGCGTAGGGACCGGGGTGGGAGCGGAAGAGGCTGCGGGAGTGGGTACAGGAGTGACAGTGGGACTTTGGCTTGGAGTTGGTAGGTTTCCGTTGGACATAACGCTGCTCTCCTCCTTGGGAACCTGGATCTTGGGCATCTCTGGGACTATGATGATGTCAACATGCTCCTCAGATGCCTCGGGTCGGGGGAGAGACGGTGGCTGCTCCCTCTCTGGGGTCTCCATGGCAACCTTAAAACATAAAATTTACCGCTATTATTATAACATCTTTGAATACAGAACAGGAAAACCTTTAGGAACCAGGAGAGTAATTGAATTGGATTCACCTGACCAACCCAGTGTATTAAAATATAAACTGGGCAGTGTCTGCAGATATTTAATAAAGCCTTACAATGCAACAGACAAAAAAAAAAAAAAAGAAAAAAGTAAAACTTCAAAAAATACCTTTTCCTCCTCTGATGTGGGGGTGCTCTTTCCATCCTCAATGCCTGAGTCTGAGCTGGACGTCTTGCTTGAGGCCTCGCTTTCAGATTTTTCAGACTCAAGAACGACTTCGGCCAGTTTGTCGGCCAGCTCCTCTGGATCTTTTGGAGGGACGTTCTGCCGCGGTACGGGAACAGGGACCACCATGATGGGGCCTGGCTGCTCCTCTGTTGGTGTATCTGGCTCGGCCCCCTTCCTGGGTAAAGGTATTGGTGTGGTTGGGGAGGGCGTGGTGGGGCTCGGGGTGTCTGCAGACTGGTCACCTTCCAAACTGGTCTGACTGGTCTGGCATGGCTCCTTGCCTGGTGACTAAAGGAACAAGGAGGAGTAAGAAGAGAGGTGTTATGCAATCGTGATAAAACGTTTGATGTTTTTAGGTTTTAAGTCAGTGGTTTCCTCTCAAATGTTAATGTTTTCAACCTTTGGTTTTAGCCCAAATGCTAATGGATAAAGTCCTTTGGGCCTCCCACCTACAGTGAAGTAAGCTTAACATTTGCTTTAGTAGGAATGCAGTCATTCTTGCTTTATACTCCTGCACTGCTACTTCTCACTGTGGCTGAGATAGCCATCTATTCTGTAATAAGTAGACTAATTTTTAACCCAATAATAATATAATATAATATAATATTTAACCCAAAATAGGGTTTCTGCAGGGTTAGACTGAAGACATTTTTAATACCACACAGAATACAATTTACTGCAGGTCTCACAGTCATACTGACCAAAGCACTAAAAGATATCACCGAAAACAAGTGGGGATGATAAGGCTGAGAATTATTTACCAAGTGTGTGGATGCCTGACAAGACTAAAAACATGCTGCATAAGACACAGATACTCAATACAAAAATGCAATTGGAAAATCAGAAATTAAATTACCAATGGGAATCTTCATCTTTCATCATATTCTATAAACCGTCAATAAAAATAAATAAACAACGTCGTCTAAATAACTGATTAATATATCCTAAACATCAGTAACTAGAAGAAAAAGCATGTAGCAATTTTCCCCAATTTGAAATCTTATTGCAGAAGGTTCCAGATGTGTGTCAGACAGGGGAATTCTGGAGTCTGTAATTATAAACACCAGGGACGATGGTATTTCAGGATTATGTGCACAGCTATCTGACACACTGAGCAATGTTGCTTTTTGGATTACCACTCCCACTAGAGGTAAACAATACCATCGGACATCTTTATGGTCAGATGCAGCCTTTTCGAAGGCCTCGGCAAACATCTCTCTCTCTCTCTCTCTCTCTCTCTCTGGCTCTGTGAGATATATAGGCAGAGATAAACTATGGGGTAAACTGCTTGGCTGGCTTTCAGGGCCTCGTAACTGTACGTGTCAAAATGTTGCTGTGTGCCTGCAAAAAAGTGGCCCCCGCCGGAAGAGGTAACTGTAATGATATCATAGTTGGGCGAGCACTGAGAAGTAAAATGTGGTGTTTGGACACAACCAGCCACTTACTGTGAAGTACAGTATTCTATACACATTTTGATATTTACATTAACTTTAATATTCCCCATAAATAAACTAAACAGACTAAAAAAGAACAATGGCTATGAACCCAATTCATGATAAATTTAACATTAAATATAACACCCTCATTGTCTGTTGGGTTTTTATCTGGGGAAAACTCTTGACGCCCAGGAAATTATGAGTTTTAAGTCTCGTTTTCAGTAACCAGAGCAGGATAAAGCAAGACTGGACACACACACACAAAAGAAATAAAGTAACACCACCTACAGAAACTCAAACTTAATCCAAAGGCCAGCAATGTTTGATTTCCAAGACGTCTGGAAAAGGAAAAGTGCCAAAACACCACCTGCGCCGCCTGCTTGGCCACGTTTCAAACTGCACCAGTCAGTACACTGGATCAGAGTTATCCATCCCAATAAATTCGAAGGCCATCACACAAACTGTCGCTATTGCGGGAGGAAGAGAGATAAGCGTGCACACATTCATCTTCACAGAGAGAAAAACATCCACGCTCGACACGTGATCGACACAATTGTCTTGCTACAGCTTCCGAACAGCGAGAGTATTTCTAAGATCGCTGGTGTACAGGAAACCGTCTGTTCTTTATTTAAAGGTCAAAAGTATAGCGGGGAGAACAATGTACAGCCTTAAATAATTTACTCCTTCGGGGGTTGAGAGTTGACAGAGTCTCAATTACAGGAGCAATGTCAAATGCGGCACTTATATTTAACCATGTGTGGGTGGGTGTGTTGAATGCCAGTATTCCGGTTTCTGTTCCTTTGTTTGTGCTGAGGGCAGGTGGTAAACTTCACTCTCGTGCTGTGTTCACTTTCTAATCTTATGCCTTTATGAATGGCCTCTGCAGAATCCCTTGGCAGGAAGCCCATGTTTACCAAAAAAAAAAAAAAAATGCTGTTCAAAGGGGTCAACAAGCAAGGATTTCAAACATGAGGGAAGTGAGCACGTGTGCATTTTAGGGCATGGTGCACGTGCAGGTAAGTGCATACCTTTGAGTGATTATGTGCACGAGTTTTGACTTAATTATATTGTCTGGTGACATTAAAATAAGCCCCTCCACCCCTTTTTTTTTTAACTCAATCTTGTCTCTTTCAGCTTTGGACCACACAGTGAGAATAATCTTCACATGTGTCGGTGTAGCTTAGTAGTTGAATCTGATGTACACTTAAAACATGGACTGCCCATTCTCCTTTTAGAAACAAACAATGACAGAGAAGAAAATGAAGGGACGGAAAAAAAAAAAAAAAAAAAAGAAAAAGAAAAAAAGATGTAAGCTTGGTACCACAGTGAGCTCCATGGCGTCGTCCTCCTCTCCTTCCTCTCTATTGTCCTCGATTTCCTCCATGACCTCCGCCTTGGCCTCGGCCACCAGCTCCCGCAGCGGACGGTTAGACGTCACCGATCTCACAAAAGGGTGCTGTGGACGCAAGAGACGGAAGACAGAGGTTAATTATCACTCAAACAAAATGCACACAGATTAGTGCTTTAAAAGCAAGACATAATTCTTACAAAAAAAGACACCCCTCTTGTGTTTGCCCCCCCCCCCCATTCTAAGCATCATATCTTGAGCATAAATGAATTTGTAAACACTACCATAAACATCCACTGCACAGCATTTGGTTAAACAAAGAGGGAGGCACAGAGGCTTGATGTGACCACGGGATAAACCCCCGCACCGCCATAAAATAATATTTGCTGAACACATTATCCGTGGATCTGATTATCATTAGACCATGAGATTAGTGCTTGAAGGATGCTGCAAGTGCCGGGCTGAAAACGATGGGGAGGCAGTAACATGATACGTGCCGGTACCAGTTTTATTTCGGACATTTTAATAAACCACTACATTAGCTGTGGAGTGAAACAAAACAATTAGCAGACGTGAAAACCCTCGGTTGGCAGGATAAAATCGGTGTAAAACGTGAAACCGCTGTGAATGCAAATGACTCTTTAAAGAGACAACAGTGGGATGAAGGCAGGGAAACAGACAAAAATAAAGAATTCTGGTGAAAAATAAAGCAACCACAGTAAAGTACATTAGCTTTGGTCAAGCAAGTGAGAAACAAGCACAGGAGCAAAGACTACAGGGGACTTTCACTGCCACCTGCGAGTTCCTGAACAGCTACAACAATAGCAATACAATAGCTTTACAATACAACTCTCCCCGTTTGAGGCACACCGATGTAATAACACCATACCCTTAAAATAGAAAGCCGTCTTTAGCTCTACACCATCTGAAAAGAGAAAATGTGTGTTTTGCCACGGTGCAAACAGAGTGCAAGGAGAATAAAAGGCTAAATTAAAAGTTGAGTGCAGAGGGGATAAAAGGCCGATCATCTATTATTCAGATGCTTTGCCCTACTGTGTAATTTAATTGGGCTAGCTGACAAAAGGGAAAAAAGACTACAAGTGGTGCTGGACCATGAAGTGTGTATAAGTCAGTGTGTGTGCGCATTTTTGTTGTGGGTGATCACAGGTGTTTGTGTGCTGGGTCTTGTCCTTAAGGACTGCATAAGTCTTCAGCTTTTTAACTCCAGTGACAAACAACAGTCAGCTATCGTCTAATGAGTCAGGGGGTGTAATTGCTGAGTGCCAGCTAATCATTTATTACACCACAGAGGAAATACATTGATAAGAGTATGAAACTTTTTTTTTTTTTTTTTTTTTAAATGCTATATATACGAATGCAATTGTTCATAGCAAATGCTAAAGTGAAATTTAGGGGAATGTAAGGAATGTCCTGCGCACAAAAAAGCAGCATGATAAAAAAAATCATAATAATAATAAAAACACAAGCCCAACAACTCATGTTGAGGATAGCCACACTGGTTAATTTAAGAGACACAAATGATTTGGATGCCAGTGACCACACAACCACCGCCTGAGTACACTCCAACAGCTGTACACGATTCACAGTAACACGAGCAAATGCCGGGACGACCAGATTTGCAGCTACATCTCATGCTCCAATAATACATGAAATACTCCTTCTGAATTTGGGATGTGTGGAGGAGGGTGTGACCGCTGAGCTGGTATTGCAGGGGGCTGGGGCATTTAAGGGCAAACGTAAATAAATAACCCCAATCCCAGTGTGTAGGCCAGCTCGTCTTCCACTTCCTCAACAGTCAAATGTTTTAGACACATTTTCTCAGGTTTAAATTAAATCTAAACAATTTTTTAATAGAACCATTAGAGTCATGTCTGGTCTATATAACATCAGGAAACAGTGAGAAATATTCATCACATATACATCATCAGGTGTCTTTTTTTTTTTTTGTCCAACCAACGGTCCAAAACCCAAAAATAATCCAAATTCCAAATAGCAGATTCTTACATTTAAGAAGCAAATAATTAACAATGAATCGATTATCACAATAGTTAATTATCTGTCCAGCCAATCGACTTATAATTGCAGCTCTAGTATAATCCTTTATTTAATATATATAGAACAGGAATATGTTCCTCGTCTATTCCATATTTTTGGCCTAGTTACCACTATTGATCTAAGCCTACACTGTTAGTGAAAATTAAATAACAAGACCTAAACAAAATATCAGCTGTGAATCTCATTAGAGAACCACCAGTAGTTAACATGTGAGCTTTCAGCTTGAAACTGTTTATTCTAACAAGTGACCTCAGACCTCCCACGCTGAAGCTAACGCCAGTTTCCCTGAGGCAAATCAAAAGGAGGAAAAAGGCAAACAGTGTAGAACTGCAGCCCTCTTTAAGCTACCTATGTGTGTTTTTTTTTACTGGCACTATGGATCAAGATGAGGATCAGTTGAGCTCATGTCTTCTCTTCTGGGTTTCATGTTGCTTTAGACCCAGAGAGGCTGGTGATTTTGGGTGTTACATGCGTGGCTGGGCGTGAAAAGGTTAATGTGAACAATATGGCCCAGGGGGGGACTGGGGGGGGGGGTTCAGCATGAGAGCAGAGTTACCTGTGCAGCAAATGACACAAGACTGTGTGCATTTGTTCTTCCGTCTTTGTGAGGACTATTTTCAGTTTTAGATAGACATTGGGGTTCTGAGGTTAAGGTTTGTTTTTTAAGGTTGAGGTTATAATTAAGTTTAGGTTCAGTCTGGAGCAAGAGTTGGGATTACATGCGTAGTAATTTTGGTCTGCATAAATTAAACTTTACTTTTATTTGCCTTAATTTTGAAATACCAGTCTGAGATTTCATTATATCCTGTATAATCTTTACAGACCTCACAGGAACTTCTTTCTACTGAGAAATAGTCCCTATGAAAACTGCTGGATTACTTTGATACTGTAGAAACCTCAAAAACATGGAGCATTATGGAGTTTTTTTTTTTTTTTCCCCACGATGGACATTGAGATAATGATATCCCCCAGAATGTCTAACCTCACTAAAAATATGTGTAGTATTTTTGTGTGTTGAGATGTAACCCTATAATAAGTTTAGAGTGAGGTCAGGGTAAGGGCTGGGCTTGGACATACAGTTGTAATAGTCAGTGTTATGGTTCAGGGCTGAGGAATGCATGATGTCAGTTAGGGCTCTCACAAGTATAGAGGTACAAATGTCAGTGTTGTGAAACCACTACAAAGCCCTGGCTCGGAGATGAACGAGCCAAATACTCCCATGGTAAAACTACACCGACATAGAGACACGTTATGATCAAGAACAGAAAAGCTTCTAATATTTTACATGAATGGAAGCTATGTTAAAAAGTACACTAAAAATCCTGACCATGAGCAACTATGTGGGAGGAGTGGCTGTATTCAGTATAATGACTACAAGTCAGCCAGATGGTTTCCTGCCAGCCATACAGCCACAGTGACTGATGCTGTGTCATGTTGTTTTGTGTACATTCCTTATAAGAACACACATGCGGGGCAAAGAGAAGGCGAGACAGACAGAAGGAAAGACGTTTGGAAAAAAATAAACCAAAATCCATTTCCTCTATGAAAATCTTGATCACAAAGACTTCATGACGCTTTGTGAGTCATTATTATCTTCCTGTTCACTGCACTACATCTGTGCCAGACTCCAGTGAATAACTCCATTACAAAGTCCGATCCGAACCTTATCGCATGCACTAATTGTAACTTTCATCTTTCAACTTTCATCGTTCAGCATCAACTGCTCAGGAGAATTTAATGCCATCATTGCACAGCTATCTTACAGTAAATACTATCTGACAGCCGTTCGGAGCAGGCAGCCCGTGATAAACATCTAAAAACTTCCAGCACGGAATCAAAAACCGGACCGCGCCCGTCTCCCACACCCCCCACCCCCACTGGAGAACACATGCAGAATTCCCGGCGGGCCCGGGTCTAGGGTTTTCATCTCTGCCTCTCTCTAATTGGCCAGAGGAGGCGAGCTCGTGGTAAATCTAGACATACTATTGGCTGAGAGTGGGAATGTAAATAGCTGGCATTCCCTCAGCTGTGGGATTCAGACAGGAAACTGTGGCTCTGAATTTTAATAGACACTGCTCTCGCGCTTTAATCCACACCCTCCTCACTTCTTGTCTCATTCCTCTTGCTCAAATCCTGGATTTTGAGAAACAGTTGTGAGTGTCAATTTGTCAGTTGTCTCTTAATAAGAGACAAGAGCGGTCATTCTAAATTTTTTGGGACCAAAAACAACAACTTCAAAAAAGCTCCAAATCTTTATTCACCTTTTCTTCACTGTACCTTTTTTCAGCTTTGGCTTTCTTGCACTTTACTTGTTCATTCATCTTACTTAAGTCATCTTACTCCTATGCCTTTTCCATTTCTTGCCCACTCTACACCTTCTATTTCTCTCCCACTCTCACGCTAGTGCCCTCCACGGGGCACCGCTCACTTCCCTGGTATAGATCACTCCATTCAGTCCCCAAAATAGAAGAGTAAAAGGCTCCGTATATGTGTGTCAGTGCAAGATAAGGACAGAGTGAGGACAATGTTCCATCATATATCAAAGTGCAGCATTGTATAACACTTGCTGGGTTATTATTGCACATTGCGTCAGGGCCTACCTCCATGAGTAGCACTGCAGTTGGACGAGTCTCTGGGTTTTTATCCAAAGCTTTCTTCAGGAAATCTTTAAACTCCTGCGACCTTGAAAACACAAGAACAGAACAGAACAGTATTAATCAAAAACAAGAGCAATGAAGAAAGAGGAGAGGGCGGGGAGGGATGAAGGAACGGTTACAACATAACAAAACATTTCCAGATATGTGACGTTTCGGTGCATGTGGATCCATCCTTGTGCGCAGCTGTGTTTTGTAAAACAAAGCGTTCAAGCAGGAACGATGAGTCAGCTCCGCATCCCAAGTCTCCCCTCAAAACACCTGACAACTTCACTTCTGCAGTACTAAATTTGGAGCTACGGAACATTCACTCATAAAACTGATATGGAAAAAGTTATAGTTTGGCACTCAGCCCCTCTGCTGAGTTGTTGCTGTAGTTTTAGGAAGGGCAAAATGGACCGCAGACAGAGAGGAGGGGAGGACAACATGATGCATTGAGTGTCTGGGGATAGATTGCAGGACGCTGAGTCTGCAAAATATTTGGTGATCCCATCAAAGTTAATGACCTCGTGAAATCTAGGCATCATAATGAAATCGTGGAACGTGAAAACGGTACTGTACGACAGCTGAATTCACGCTCATTTTCTAAAGCACCCTCACCATTTGTGTGGCTGCTCCAGGGAGGGAGGCTCCGCCTTGGCGATCTTCAACAGCACCCTCATGGGGTTGAGCTCATGGTGTGGGGGTTCGATCTGGGCGAGCTCGATCAGAGTGATACCCAGGGACCAGATATCGGCCTTGTAGTCGTACGGAGCGTCCTTCATAGTCTCGCACATTACCACCTCCGGGGCCATCCTGAGAACAAGACAGAGAAAAGTCACGGTACACTGGACATTACAGAGCTAAAAAAAAAAAAATACCTCAACATGTAAAGATTTTTATCTCTGACGTCGTGTTGTAAAAATCTGGTTTTGCTAAATCAACACAGGTAGCCGTCGAGAAATCAGTCCTAAAATTATTCATGCAAAGCAGCAGCCTGTGAGTAACTGATGGTGACTGCACCGGGACAGGGAGCTTTGCCATTTTGCATGTGTCAACATCAAGCACACTTCTCCAGTCAGCACGTGTTTGCAGACAATTTGCAAAACGGCTCTCATAACTCTAATCTGAGAACCTTTAGATTTACTCAAGTGCAAAGAAACGAATGTTTGCTCCCTGTTTCTTGTTGACTTTGCTTATCAGTGCATCCAAGGGAAAGGTATGCACCACAACTGTCCGCAACATTCTTCTCAGGACAGTGTTGCGCAAGGGGGGGGTGGGGGTGGCACCGTCATGTTTTCAATGACCTGGGAGGGTATTCCTAATGAACGATAACCGGTTCTGGTCAATGTGTAACTGGCTCCAACCATATTCACATAGGAGAGAGAACTGCTGGAGGACAAGGTTCACTGTGGAGACATTTCCGATTTGTTCAGGTATAGAGGAGACCGCTGCACTGTTGTGACAACAATGGAGGACTAAAGCACAGAGTTGAGTATAGGGTTGAGTGTGTGCATACACAGTAACATGCCTTAGTGCGGAGGTGTGGCGGTGGTAGAAGGAAATCTGCTCTCAACATCGTCATGTAGCGATGGTTGACATTTTTGCTGTTTGGTTTATACCAAGGCCAGTGAGGTGCTCTGATACAGGAACTATGTCTCACTCACCAGTACGGCGTTCCAATGAAAGAGTCTCTTCTTTGTAGGGTTTTGGTGTTTTTCGCAGACACGCCGAAATCAGCTGCAAGAATAAAAGAGACACAGGAGAAAGATGATGTGAGACAGTTGAAAGACATTCCCTAAAAAAAACCCCTTAGTAGACAAATAGTACGTTGCTTGTAAAGCAGTCATGACATTGTGATGGGCAGAGACTAAGAAAGCCAGAATCACCGTTTCCCCAAACAAGCTTGCCCCTCTTCCCTGACTCGGCCGTCAGATTACAGCGGTGTTTTCACTTTGGCTGAACAAGTTTTCCTCTGTTGGTAAGAATATTACGAGTGGTGTGCCCAGGGTTGAGAAGCGTTTGGCAGAGGCCCTCCGATTTTACTCACAAGGCAGCAGGCTGACTGCTTCGGTTACAAACCGGCATTTTCTATTACAGGCACTTAAGTGTCTGTCTTGGTTTTGCAGACTACAATTCAAATATCCTCAACTTCCCAGTCAAACATATCATTAAGACTGTTGCAGTCTAAACTTTTGCACGAAGAATTTTTACTTCCTCTACTTCCTTTTACCAACAACTTTATTGCACATTGAGTAATATCCTGAAGGATTGCAACATATATGATTTCAAACCACAGGTCAAATACACATCAGTGCATTCTGATAAAGAAGCTCCATTCCCTCTACACAAAAACCTGTTGTGTCACAAGGTTTGAGCTACATCAAGTTCACTTCAACAATCCACCAAACAAGGGTGTGTTTCCCCAAGATGCATTATCATGATGTGTCTACACTACACAGCTACAAGGCGTAACGCACCATCGGGAACTACATGAATGCACAATAAAAAGGTGTTTTAATGGGGAATCCCGACAGACTCAAGGACGGGAATAATGTTGCACGGTCATGCATGGGATTCAGCGTTTTGGTTTTAATAATCTGAAATGGAAAAATACAAATAGTGTATTACATCATGAGTGTTTGTGCCTGTTCTAAACGGACTTTCCTTTGTTATTGATCATTGCTTTGATAAAGCATCACAACATGGTGGAAAAAAACTCTTTTTTTCTGCCGACCTTGACATTTTGTTTTCTAGACACGTATGCGGCTCTTAAAAAACTGTTAACATTTCTAAGAATCAGTTTTGAGAGATCAACAGTCTCTAAAGTTTTATAAACATGAGCCGCAAAGTTTATAGCGAGCTGCGCTGCATGAAGAACATGACGTTCAATGCCATGTATCACAGGCAGAGATAATGCACGTCAGTGACCTCAAAGACAGTTAATTGCTGCCTTGTTTAAATTAACATGTAGTTAGATACATTTGGAGTAAATGAGTCAGTGTCATGACTTAATGAGTTTAAAGAGGCAACTCCCAGTGATTATATCTAGCTGTGGTGTCCTGAGGAAGAATGTACAGCAGTGGAAAAGGACTTTAACATGAAGTACAACTCCAGCTCAGAGAAAGTGTAATAAAAAAATTAAAATAAAAAATAAAAAAAAATCACAGAAAAAAATTGGATTCCACTTCAACTAAAAAAATAAATAAAAAAAGGGCGGTCAGTTCCACAAAGAATCAATACTTGAATATGAAACTCTGTGCAGCCTGTAGTTACCCTCTACCCAGTGTTTTTGGTTTGTTGGTCATGACCGAGTGCAAAACGACAGAGAGAAAAAGTAAAACATCATGTTTCAAGTTGTATGTCTGAGGACCCGTTTAGAAAAAAAAAAAAAAAAAAAAAAAAAATCAGCTCTTCTTCCACAAAGCACATGAAGCACATTAAGATCATTATTTCCCTTTTTCTGGCAAGCTACACTTTAATCCAAACCCTACTGACCATTGGTCTGGGTCCACAGCTTCAACTGTGCGATGTGAGGAATGCGGAGAACTCTTCAAAAAGCCAATAAATGAAAATATGCAAAACTTTTTCGAATGCAGTTTTCCCACACAATGCTCAGTTATGATCCTCCTACAGCACCACAGGAAGGGCACGGGGCCTGTAACCGGTGTGTGTGTGTGTGTGTGTGTGTGTGTGTGTGTGTGTGTGTGTGTGTGTGTGTGTGTATCTTGCATGTAAGCCAGAGAAACAACGGACCAGAGGGTCTGAGAGATAACCTACAATGTGCAGTGAGAATGTGGGGTTTATCTGAGAAATTTGTTCCACTTGCATCATTTTGGCAGTGAGATGGTTTTCTCAGCGAATGATGGGATATAAAAGCGAAGCTCCAGGCCCTTGCAAGTGGGGGTCCAAATCCAACCTGCAGGGTCTCAAAGATGTTTTAAACTCGTCACTTTCTCTGCTGTAATCTCACAATTCGTGTTTTGTTTGATTTCAACCTGAGAGATGTGGCCACCACAACCTGCTCAAGCCGTTCAAAGGTCAAATTCGACGGGTCATTTGACATTATTGTCAGCACAAATACTACGAGGGCAATATTGTGTTACTTTCTAAACATACAGTATTGCTTATTTCAGGCTTTGCGCGCCCACTAATGCCTTAAATATTCAGTTAAATGTCAACTTCATACAAAAAGAAAACCTAAAACCAGCAATATTTCAAAGCAAAAGAAATCGAATCCCTCACCGAGCTTGATGTCCCCGTCCAGCATGAGGAGGACGTTGCCGGCCTTCAGGTCTCTGTGGATGATCTTCATGCCGTGGAGGTAGTCCAGAGCCTCCAACATCTGGCGACAAACCACCTTAATCTGTGGCTCCGTCAGCCCACGATCCAACTCTGATAAGGGCAGGAGAAGCGCAGGAAAAGGAGACAGGCGACGCAGAGGTTAAATACGGGGCGGGGGAGAGGGGGTGAGAACGAGAACCAGAGTGGAAATGAGAGAATCGCTGAGAGGGTTCAAAAGCCATTACGCACGCCTTGCACATTCCATATCTAGTGTACATACAATCATGGCAAATCTAGGTCTTGAGGACTGATCTGGTGTGTGAACCTCATGTAGCACACGAACAGAAAAGAAAAAAAAAAAAAAAAGGTAAAGCTGTGATGATACCAATCAAGTCTCTCAACTAGTGTTGCTGGAGGAGTAATCCCAGATCAGAGAGGCTTTCACACATATCCAAGCTAGTCCTGCCCTGCGGACTTTATTCTACAGTGTCTGTGTTTGGTTAGCTGCAGAGGGGGTACAGACAGTTATGAGGATGTGGATTACCCAGTGAAAACAGACTAGGGGGATTTCCCACACAGGAGGACTCCACTATGTCTGACTGCTTTCTGAAGATTTCAAGGACAAACCGGTGAAGTTTCAGTGCGTGATCATCACCGGAGTTAATCGATAGTGCTGTGAAAAATACTTGTTTTCTCCGTTTTTCCTATAGTAAACAAACACGTTGCTTTAAATCAATAACGTAGACTGACCACACGTCTTTGACTTTTTTTTTTTACACCTCGTCTCTACACTGCGTAAAGGTCAGTGCCGAAAGTGCCACAGCACCGCCACAGGTGCTGAACTTGACGGACAGGAAGGTGAAGCGCTTATTAAGATATAAAGATACAAAGAGAACAAAGAGAGTGAGTGAGAGAGAGAGAGAGAGAGAGAGAGAGAGAGAGAGAGAGAGAGAGAGAGAGAGAGAGAGACCTACCTAGCATTGTGGCATCCACAGCACCTCCAGGGCAGAACTCGATCATGATCTGGGAAAAAGAGAGGGAGGAGGGTAAATGGGTGAATTTCAACTTGACCCAGCTTTTTCACTGTAAATTGCGAGCATACAACTGACAGCTTCAAACTCATTTTTCAGGCACGTGTATGTCGCAACAGGAAGAACAGACCACTTTCCATGAGCAGCACATGCACAACTACTACTGGGCATCTTTTAAATATATTTTTTATACAAATTTTTGTCATCAGCCAAAAGAGATGTGAAAAACATACTGTTTTTTATAATAAGACAAACCAAATCAAAGTGTGGGGAGGACGAGATGATGGTGTTTTACGGGGGGATTTGATTTGGGGGGAAAAAAACCCCCAAAAAAACCCAAAAGATTTTAGTCTGTAGTCGCAGAATTATTACAACAGAGAGTAAGTTTGACCTGGAAATGCTTTTGACAGCTGTAACCTTTCCCCGGCTGTAAATCAGCGTAATACCTTGTTCACAGAAGGTAAGCACATCACACAATTATTTGAGCTCTATGTGTTCAAATTTGAGTGTAACGAAAACCCATGTGTGCGTCATTTTGTTTTTGTTGGATTCAGTAGAAGCTGTGACAGTGTTTCTGACAGCAGCGACATTGATACTGTAATATACTGTGTGAATACAGTGGATAAAACTAATGCTTTCCTCAAGCATCTTATTATTAAATAAGAATTAAGACACTTGTTGCATCAGGTGGAAAAACCTATCTTCTTATTCAGCTGGTTTTTGATGTTATTAAGTATTATGAATGTGCTGAATCTGAATTTGCAGCCTCCTCTGTTGACTGTTAAATCAGCCTGCATCAAACTCTCTTTGGTCAAAGCCGTAGAACACAAACACACTTTGCAAAGTGGACAGCTGGACTCAGACCTTAAGTGTGTGATAAACGGCCAGGCTGTATACTCACTTCCTGGGAACACGCTGTCAAATATATAATACCAGTTCAGCAGTGAAAACCCAGAGAGAGAGCGAGAGAGAGAGAGAGCGAGAGAGAGAGACAGGAGGGCAAAAAAGATTCAGAGAACACACTCCCTAGATGGTGTCTTGTTGGCCAACAGCAACTTCCAACAATCACCTTTCATTTCCTCTCCTTACATAGGCACTCTCACACACACACACACACACACACACACACACACACACACACACACACACACACACACACACACACACACACCTACATTTTTCATTCAAATAAAGTGGGACCAAAGAAAATAAAGTGACGATAGGATTTCATAATAATCATGTGCAGAGCAGTTGAAGTGTGTGTTAACGAAACTGTGTGTGTACAAGTGTCACAAGCAGCTCACACACTACATAAATGCAGCATTGCCCGATACAAACTTGCCTCACTTCTGATGATCTATTCATTTCATATTGTCCAAGATCAGCCCTGGGTGGTGTGTAGCATACCTGCTGTGTGATCTCATTCTTATTTAAGTCTCGCTTGCTATGACAACACTGTCAAAAGCACCAACCTGGTACTGGACAGGGTGTGGAGTTTCAGTCCAGACAAAGCCATACAGATAATTACGAGTACAACAGGTGCACATGCACTGGGTGCAGATCAATGCAAGAAACAATGCATACCACAGCGCACACACGCGCACACACACACACACACACACTTCGTGGAAAACCAGAAGATGAGAGGAATGTCAATCTTGGCCTGCAGCTTCAGGTGAAACAAATGCTCTTTTGTGAATTTTAGATCAACAAACCCAAAACAGTTTGGGTTTTGTCGGGGCGTTATCGCGGATGTTTCGCCTCATTGTGGTCTCTTTTAAAGACGGTTTCACATCTTATGTTTCCTCTTGAATGACAGACAGCGGAAAGACAGTGTTACATGCTCTGCTGCTTCCAGCCAAAACATTCTCATTCTCTCATTTGAAAATGAACAAAAGTTTAAATACTCATAAAGTCTGCTAATTTGCTTTATCTGGCCAATAAGTAACAGGAAACTGAAGTACAGGTTTGAGGTAATTTACAGTGTTTGTCTGGACCAGAGAGAACGGACAATTTCATTTTTCTACTGTAAAATGTCTGCTCAGTATGTATCTTAGTCACAATGACAAAATATAAGGAATATGCATTAAAATTATTTTTGTTTTTGTTTTTTCTGACACATCAGAAGTTGAAATAATTATTCAAATGTGCTTTTATCCATATCTTCATCAAGTGCTAAGTCAATACTGATAAAATATTAATCTAGTTTGAAAGCAAACTCCATTTATGTATTTCACCAACTCTGCAGAGGGAGGTTTATTGCACATTTCAGTACAAACCACTTCCTTATTTCTGCTCACCGCTAACCAAACACATTTTTTTTCTGAAAAAAAAAAAAAAAAGAAAAAAGAAAAAAGAAAACACCCTTCTATCCTCCAGTAGTAACACACTGTACTGACCAGTCTAAACAGCTATACATTACACTACTGCCAGAGGCAACTGGTTTGTGTTTTTGTCAGCGCCTCATTTGCTCTCCCTTGCCTGGAAGCATTCTGGATGACATGTTGTACTGCAGTGAAAAATGCGCCCTGGCTGGTCAAGCTGGATGCAAAGCATACCCACTGTGGGCTGAACATGCACGCAGAGACAGGCTCTCTTTTATCTCCGCTGGCATCGCGCAATGACTTATAATAGATATTATCACCATTTTATCTCCCACCTCTTTATTCTCTTCCGAGCCAAAGCTGGATCAGCTTAGACACAGTCCACAAAACCTTGCTGACACTGCAGTGTTCCCCCCCTCCCAAGTCACAACTCTGTACTTTCACAATGATTTACCTCATTTTCGTCAGAGGTCTAAAGAACGTAAAAAAAAAAAAAAAAAAAAAAGGCTGTTTGCCAAGACAGACTTGCTTCGAAACTGCAGTCAGTCCTGAATAAAGAAAAAAAAAAAACAGCATGAATCACACAGACAAACTCCTGTACTTTGCTATTCAGTGAACGTGACTAATGCTTCAGCGATGTGTGTTCTCTCTGAGGTGTATATGAGATGGTGCCACCAGAGGCACCGCACAACGACTTGTATTCAGGCTTTGCAGCGTCATCAGAAGTCTCCTAGCAACCGCAGCCGGTGCCATTATGTCAGCTTCACTGTATGCAAATAGTGGCAAATACATAGTGAAGAAAGATTATTATCAGTGTCTCTCTGTGTCTAAAACACCCACCAGCATGACTTCAAAGCCCAATCATCTCTTCCTTCTTTGTCAAACTGCAGGCTCTTGAAAATAATTATTTTACAGACCCTGATTACACAACAGGCAATGAAAAACTCATCAGTATAACATTAGTAGCAATTTCCGCTACTGAGCTGAGGGCGTAGAACATTTATGAACCATCCTCTAAGATTGCAGCTCTTTAATGGGTTAAACCACAAGATGTTAAGTCTAGAAACTGTCTATATTCCACATGTTGGTGTAGTTGAGCCAAGTTAAGCCCAGTTTTAAAACTCTCAGCACTGACCCATTGTGATACTATACCTCTTCATTACAGATTCTCCTGACCTCCACCATTTCAGGTCACCTACAGGCCACCGTAACTGAAGGGGAAGGAGTTTTGAAGGCAGAGGAGACCATCTTTAGATGAAACAAGTTTCACTAATGGTCATTTAACTCCTGCTGGTTTTACAGACTCATACCGACACTCGTAATGTTCCCCTGAGATGTGGTGGTGTGGTGCGTTCCAGTCTTTACAACATCTAACAGGCTAGGGTTTGTTCACCAAAATTGATGCCTCAAAATTTAGTCAGTTACCTCTAGCGGTATCAAATGAGATATCCTGAGATTTCCAACACCACTCAAATGCAGCAGAGGTTAATGGAATTTCATGACGCTCAAAATAAAGTTTGCATTTGATTAAATAATTCAACAATAATATCACTTTCCAGAATTAGAGTCCCAGTTCTTCTGATTAATCGAAGGGCTGCACTGTCAACAATTCTAATTGGAACTACTTTCTGTAAAAGAAACAGTTCCCATCGAAACTGCTTTGTATCGGCGTGGCAGCATAAATCAAAACCTCAGCAAAAAATAAAAACTTAAAAACTTTCTGCATGGCTGGTTATCACTACAGGCAATTTTATTGTCATTTATGTCTTTCTGCTTCTCTGTCCTCTCTTTCTCCATCTCTCTCTCTCTGTTTGTTCCTCTCAGTGTGCTGATATCAGCAGTCCCATCCCCATGTTAAAGGCCCTCTTTTTCTCACGCTGTTGGCCTGGCTGCCTCACTAGCCTCAAGACCAGATTGTTCCTGAAAGGGAACAAACAGCCCTTCTCTCACTGTCTCTCTCTCTCTCTCTTTCTTTCTTCCTCTATCCCTCTTTTACTCAGTAGAAAGCAGAACGGGTGGGTCGGCACTGGAATGCATCATCTCACCCCTGCCTAGTCCACCCAACCGGAGGTTACTGAGGCTTGACCGTCAACCATCCGGCCAAATGTTGAGATTGTAAGGCGTGGCGCGCACACACACACACACACGCACACGCACACGCACACGCACACACACTTCCAGCGATGACATGCAGAGCTTGTTCACTTCGACGTGTTATATATAATTTTCCTGCTGCTGGTCAGATGCTCATGTGTCCATTTTGGCTGTAAGTTTTGAGTCCGATCCAGAAAAATGTGGCTGAGACTTAGAGAATAACGTTAGACAAAACATTAGTGTCCGAGCCTCGCCTGGAAGTGAGATAGTAAGCAAAAGCTGAGACTCTGAAGCCCCCCCACACACACACACACACACACACACACACAGGAAGCATGTGGTTTGAATGCTGCAGACAGGGATGTTTGTACATTTGACTTATCAGCACAAACTAACACAGACTCACAGAGTCCAGCTTTGACTGATGGGGGACGTTCACCTTCCAGGCCCAAGAATTCCAGTTATGGCCAACACAACTGTGACCGGCTCTGAGGCTGTGACACAGCTGCGTGTGTGTGTCTGTGTGTGTGTCTGTGTGTGTGTTTTTTTATTAAGTTCAAGGTAATTCCTGGAGTTCATCAGTGTGTTGGTCATGTTTTGTTGAACTTAAAAGTGATAATTCTTTTCATTTTCATGAGCTCATTCCTATTTTCGATCATTTTTGACATGAGGGATCGTCAGCCTCACTGTTAACTGTTTCCTCTCTTTACACAGTGTCAGAGCTGTATTAAGTGATGATTAATGCAAACCGAACATCCTACTGCTACTATTTCACCTTAAAAGCATTAAACTGGCAAAACACGGGGTGGCTTTTAATGTGACGCAATCACAGGAAACGCAAAGTGTCAATCACTGTGTTTAGCAATAATCGTGATCCGTCTAAAAAAATCATCTATAAAATATACCAATGGTCTTTGTCAGCATTTTTCGTGAGCGAATCAATTTGAATTTTTTGAGAGGGAACAGGAATGAGCGGCTTCAGCGGGCTGTTAGACGAAGAGCTGCAGGCGACCTGAGCAAGGTAACTGCCGTTGTGCGGAAAACTACTTATGATGTGTGCAACGTGAAATTAGACTGCAGTTGTAATTTTTACTGGCTGACTCCTTTATTCAGCTCACATGATATCATTTGGCTGCACTGGAAACTGACACAAGTCTGTCCACTGTTGTATTCCTGACAAAGTAGCTGCTCAAAGAGTGCTTGCTGTTACCACGGTAACCACACGTCACCAAATCAAGGACTGAAATCTTAAGGATTATAATTTTGACAGTGTATTTAACAATTTCTACTGTTTTGATAACTGAACACAGAAAGAACACTGGAAAAACAGAGGGACAGTCCACTCACTGGGTTCCTGAATTGAATTTCTGTATTCAACATACACAAGTGAAATGTAATTTCTACATGCCGTTATTCTAAAAAGAACACAACTATCTTTAGTCACAACGCTGCCTTGTAATTCCCCCATATATTGAAAGTCATGCCCCAGCATGAGGTCACTATTATTTGTCTTGGCCAGATACACTGGGAGATTAAAGAGGGAGTTGAAAAGTTTACACTTGACCCAGAGAGCGAGTGTGGAGAGGAAAAATAACTCAAGAGCAGAAAACAGTGAACTGAAACCGATCTTCATTTTTGCAGTAACATCAGGGTAAGATTGGGTCATTTCTGGTGCATCATGTCACCCGGGGGGTCTCCTGTCATTCCCATTTAGGCAATCCACTAATTCTTAATCTTTATTTTCCAACAGAGCTTTCATACGTGGGAGAAAAATAGTCTAGATGAGATATTGTTGCAATAAAATAACAAAAAAGGCAAAAGCAGATGAGCATCCCACGAGCGTGCCAACGGACATGTCTAAAAGGTTTGTTTTACCACTTCCCCGCTGATCATTCAAGTTGGTGTGTTGGATCTGTGGATCTGTTTGGAAAAGGCTGCAAAGAAAACTTGGTGGATGGACACAGAAACTCCTCAACACAGGGAGAACAATACCATCTTGTGAGGAAGGTAACAGTGTAGACAGCAGATAAGGTACCTTTGGTACACTATGCATCAGTCTAATACAACAGCAGTCCCATACAGGCGGCACGGGGGGGGGCTTCTTTTTAAGCAAACAGTGGGGGCTCTATGCAAAGTCTGTTCAGTCTTTCATATTTCATAGTGTTCAGTGACAGAGATGAAACAGAAAGAGAAAGGTTGACAGGTTTGTGGTTTCACCCTTGAAGCTGGTTGGCATGACCAAGATGCTTGTGATTACCTACCCACAGGTTGTTGTCATGGTAAAATGCGTCTAGCAGCTTGACAATGTAGCGGTGGTCACATTTAGCCAGGATGTCGATCTCAACCATGTAGTCCTCCAACTCTTCTTCGCATTTTGTCTCGATCACTTTGGCCGCAGCCAGAACTCCTGTCTCTTTGTTCCTGGCCTGAAAGACAAGTGAGACAGAAACATTAAGTTCAACATGCATTTTACTTCCTCTCTTTTCAGATAAAGCTTAGCAAAGATAAGTAAACAGCATTTGTTTTTTTTTCAGTGTAAATAATCCGATGAACTCAAAGAGTTTCACTTTTTTTCTTTTTTTTTTTTATCCTTTAAACTTCCACATAAAATATTAATAGCTGGGTATAGCTGTGTGATATAAAGGAGAACAAAATGTATCACACTCTTACTAAACTATTTTTGTCAGTTATGTGCAGGACTAAAGGTTGAAAACCTCAAAGTCAAACAGACAATATAAATCTCTAATAAATAAAGACATCCACTATTATCATTTTGCCTCTCAACTTAGTAAATTCCCAGTTTGCCTTACAGATAATGAGCCACTGAGTACTTTGTGCTGGACTTCTCTGTCCCAGCTATCGCCCAAGGGAATCCGAAATGTCAAAAAAGCATGGGACAGCAATTAAAATGTTGACTAACTTACATTTAGAAACAAAACAGGAAAGGAAGTTCCACACCCTCCCTGCGCAACAGGGTAAAAGGAGGAACCATAAAACATATCAAGTGTCAGTATGGTGACTAAGACACACACATAGACATAAGATTCCTTATAATTCTGAATAATAAAAGGCAAGCAAATGTAAATGTGAGGAGATTTGTTCAGTGCCTTTCTGAAAAAGCATCAAAACATAAACAAAAGCCATAAGAGTGACTCAGAGTGAAGCACAAGGCAGCAAACGCATGATGTTCACCCCAGAGCACGAGACACAATGTTTGCGAGTGCCGACTGATGAGACGTTGAGGGGAAACGCAACATTAATGTGCGGCTGCAGTCAGAACCACAGGTTCATGTCAACCGGAGACAAGCCGAGACTTGAAGCCAAGAAGCAGAGTCTCGAACGGAGAGCTGCACGGCCGTGATTCATGCCTACACTACTTCTCTACAGAGGCTGGAAACACCTGAAGGATAATGAAGCAGGGTGTCGAACATGAGGGTGAAAATGCCAATGCGATATGTCACGCTGAGAAGTGGAGGGGACGTCATTGTGTGTATTTCTGTGTGCGCGTACGAGCGCGCGCGTCGACCCAGCGACCTGCAGAAAGTCGACAGACTAAACAGCCTACTGGGGTCTGATGCCTCCACGCTTTACAGGGGCTGTGGGAAAACATCTGAACAAACAGGCCCAGGCTCACAGCAACACACACTCTTTAAAGCTCATCTCAGTTCACCATGACTGTCTGTCTGTGTGTGTGTGTGTGTGTGTGTGTGTGTGTGTGTCTAAGGGTGTTTGTCAAACAGAGCTCCAGAGAAGCCCAACTGCACCCCCCCCACCCCCCACCAGAGTAACCCACAGTGTGAGTCAACAGGACGTCTCCTGCCGCCATCAAGCCATCAGTCAGTCAGTTAACAAACCTCGACAGCAAACACAGAGAGCCCAGACAACCCGCCCCCCCTCTGCTAACATCTCAGCTCCCTGCTACTCACTCCTGAAGCAACATCAGCCTCAACAAACTCACAGCCTGGTTTCTGATACACTGTATATGTATATACACTTTGATATATTCATCTGTGGCCTTTTTCATGAAATGGCATAGTTACTCTCTGTATACTGCCTTCTACCTTTAACATCACGTACAGCATAAGATTTAGACAATAAATTGATAGATTTTCATCTATTTGACTGGCAATAACATTAACAATAATGTTAATAATAATAATTAATTTGACAATCAATGAATTGTTTAAGTATATCAAGTAAAAACACCTTCCATAGATGCTGCCTTTTCTTGTACGTATTAATTGATACCGTCTAGTTAGTCTAAGGTGACTACAGAAGGTGTTTACTTCACATCAATGAAAGTCAAAGTATTCAAAAAGGAACAGGAGATATTTAAATCACCGAAATAAGGCTAGTTCAATGACACCTGTCGCAGAACAGCACCACTGTTCCGCTTCTTTTTCTCCCACATTCAAAGCATCATTTCTTCACTCTGTTCCTCACGTCACGTCTCAGACTTACAAACCAACAGGATGATGGCTGTCTTACACATGAACTAGTAGGAGTACTGCAGGGTTTAATGCGTGTGGGAAATTACCTGTCTGTATTTTCCAAGTGGAACAGAAGCCTCACAGACACGAGCGGCTCCCAGCACATCAAAAAGAGGTCTGAATGAGCCGTCAGGTTTTTCACAACTTGTATGCAATTATGCATCAAGACATATGAGGAGTTGCAAGTTTGAGACTTTTTGTGCCGTTTTATATAGTTTTAACCTGTAGTTTAAGAGCTAACCCCCTGACCCAGCCTCACAAGGGCATTCACTCACACAAACACACACACACCTTTACATCTCAGTGGGACCACGGCTCAGGAATGCGCCTCTGGCCTTCAGATGTGTTGGGGGGGGCGGGTGGACAAAGTGGGTAAACTGAGCCTCCAGCATCTATGCAGTGCCTTTTTTGTGTGTGTGTGTGTGTGTGTGTGTGTGTGTGTGTGGTGTGTGGGGAATGCATTACGTCAATGAGGGTCCTCAGGCGTAGCATGCAAACATGTGAGTTTGTTTATGTGTGCACCTAAACCGACTGTATACACCACACAGAGAGGAGATTACACTGAAACGCCTCATTGTGTCCCACATGGGACGACCCGACTTTCTACATGTTCGCGTGACATCAATGAACAAGCGCGTGTGGATGTTTGTGCGTGTTTACACACGAGAGAGAAACCAGGAAATAACTGCAGGAGGCAGCATCATCCCATCCTCTGAATGTTTTTTTTTTTATTTTTTAATCTTAACAAGCTTAAAAAAGACCAGCTGCAGCCTCTCCCCTCAAACGCAAATTCCTGCCTGAGTGACGTCTTTACTTACAAGCTGTGGTGGTAGATTAGTTTGAACTAATGTTTAGTTTCTCTTCAACACTTTCTGCCATTGTCATCGGTCGTTTAGAGTCTGCTGCCAACCATACTTCACAACCTGACGTACTATCCCCACCGTTCTTACACTTGGGGATCTGCCATGTTCATTTCTTCACAACCAAAAATGAGAATCTTTACATTGTCTTTGAGTGCAAACAGACATGGTATCTCATATAATAACAGTCTTACTTTAACAACACATCAGAGGGATAATGTGTTCTTGTGCCTGTAACATAAGTGGATGCTGTAACTTTGCAGAGTTTCCACACTATCAACAGCTTTAACTGCTATAAAACCCATCTGAGTTACAGAGTAAATAAATAGATGACACATACTGCTATCAGCTGGCCCGGGCGGCACCTACATTAAAACCTACTTACAATATGATGTGACAAGAAAACAAAAGAAAGAAAAAAAAACAAAACACACACACACATACACGTACAGAGAAAAGAGTACGATAGAAAACACTGTAAATTATTACATAATAACAGAACACAACTGCAGGGCTGAGGGAGTAGCGCTACACTTAACTACATACTGTAGCTGCTGTTAGCCATCCCAAGAGAAAACAACGCCGCACTGTTTCTAACCCACTGACTTCTTCACTCTCCTCCAGAGGAGACCAACAGTCTTCGGCTTTGTTTGGCTCTGGTTTCCATGGTGAAGCAGAAGGACTCGTTTCTGCTCCGCCTTACAGGCTCGTTTCACCAGATCTCTCCCTGGATGGTTTTTTTTTTCCCTGTTCCTTAGTGACTTGGCTTTCATGTAGGTTAAGTGCAAAAGGATTACCTGATGGACCCAGCCTGACAGAAAAAACATTCACACTCTAAGGTTTGAATAAGTTGAAAAGCAAAATGTTAAAATTAACATTGTATAATATGTTTCAGGCATCCTGGTCGTCACATAATATCTTATTAGACCAAATAAACTGTGACACAGATCACCTACAGACTAACACAGCAAAATCCTAGAGACGCTAAAATAAGAAAAGTACGAGAAAATGACAATTTCCGCCTAAATGCAAAAAATATTCCTCTTTTATCTTGCAGTGTGAAATTAACATATTGGGAGCATAAATGAAGATTATAGTTATAGTGCATCCCTCCCAAATCCCTTTACAACACAATTTCTAGTCTGCCTCTACATCATCTCCCTCTTTATCATCCAGCCTCTTTTATTTTTATTAACGCCTTCCATCTTTGTTTTTCCTGTCTTTAATCCTTTTTCTCTGTACCATATGCACGCTTCTTTTACCCCCCTGCCTCATTCATTGTCTGCCACCCTGTACCCCTTTTGCCCCCCCCCCCCGTAATTTGTCTGTCATCCCTGCCTGAATGTCCCTCCCCATCTGTCATGTATATTTATCCATCTGTTTTCAGTAACTGCCTGCGTGAAGGCCACAATCCATGAGTGAGAAGCTACGCCGGCTGCTGCTCAACAAAAGATTTAGACAGGCGAAAAGCTGTAAAAGCAGATGTTACTGACCCAGTACCACACAAACACACTGTATGTGCCGGTAGACTGAGTAAACACAGACATGAAAAGCACACGCTCCCAGCCACGCGTGTGTGTCCATTTCAAAATGAATCAGGCTGGGAAAAATAATGTTTCATACTGTGTCTGTGTTGACTAAGGTACTAATGATTACTGCGTGCGTGCGTTCGTGCGTGCGGGATTCAAGGCAGAGATCACACTCAAAGTTACGATATCAAGCTTAAATATAACCTGATATGTGGAAGATAAGGAAGATAAGAACCAGGTATAATTAATCACAGTGTCAATGGACCAAGTGCCCTCACATAACTGTTATCACACAGAGGACTTTCCCTTGGGTCATTCACCTCCTGGCTGAATGAACATACCACATGCTGACAAGTATTTTCAGCTTGCATACTGTGTTATAGTCTCTACAAACACACACAACAACCTTCAGGGGAATGTGTGCATGTGTGCATGTGTGTGTGTGTGTGTGTGTGTGTGTGTGTGTGTGTGTGTGTGTGTGTGTGTGTGTGTGTTAGACCTTTGCCCCATCATAAACCCGTAAATCTGTGAACAAAGATGTGGTTCT